AACCCTAAACCCTAAACCCTAAACCCTAAACCCTAACCCTAAAAACCCTAAATAACCCCTTAAACCCCCTAAACCCTAAACCCTAAACCCTAAACCCTAAAACCCTAAAACCCTAAAACCCTAAAACCCTAAACCCTAAACCCTAAACCCTAAACCCTAAACCCTAAACCCTAAACCCTAAAACCCTAAACCCTAAACCCTAAACCCTAAACCCTAAACCCTAAACCCTAAACCCTAAACCCTAAACCCTAAACCCTAAACCCTAAAACCCCTAAACCCTAAACCCTAAACCCTAAACCCTAAACCCTAACCCTAAACCCTAAACCCTAAACCCTAAACCCTAAACCCTAAACCCTAAACCCTAAACCCTAAACCCTAAACCCTAAACCCTAAACCCTAAACCCCTAAACCCTAAACCCTAAACCCTAAAACCCTAAACCCTAAACCCTAAACCCTAAACCCTAAACCCTAAACCCTAAACCCTAAACCCTAAACCCTAAACCCTAAACCCTAAACCCTAAAACCCTAAACCCTAAACCCTAAACCCTAAACCCTAAACCCTAAACCCTAACCTAAACCCTAAACCCTAAACCCCTAAACCCTAAACCCTAAACCCTAAAACCCTAAACCCTAAACCCTAAACCCCTAAACCCTAAACCCCTAAACCCTAAACCCTAAACCCTAAACCCTAAACCCTAAAACCCTAAACCCTAAACCCTAAACCCTAAACCCTAAACCCTAAACCCTAAACCCTAAAACCCTAAACCCTAAACCCTAAACCCCTAAACCCTAAACCCTAAACCCTAAACCCTAAACCCTAAACCCTAAACCCTAAACCCTAAACCCCTAAACCCTAAACCCTAAACCCTAAACCCTAAACCCTAAACCCTAAAAACCCTAAACCCTAAACTAAACCTAAAAACCTAAAAACCCTAAACCCTAAACCCTAAACCCTAAACCCTAAACCCAAAACCCTAAACCCTAAACCCTAGAACCCTAAACCCTAAACCCTAAACCCTTTTCGACCGGTGCCCTTTTCGACGGGTGGGTTTTCGACCGGTGCGCTTTTCGACCGGTGCGCATTTCGACGGGTGCACATTTCGACGGGTGCGCTTTTCGACCGGTGCGATATGTTTTTACAGTTTTGTCGCCACAGAACTGTGCACCGTAGTCGCCTGATCGCCTCACAAGAGTCGCACATTGACAACAAACATCGCCACACAAGCCCCCCCCCTGACAAATACCCACCCTTTTCGCCGTGTGCTTGTGAGAAAGCCTCATTTGCCCGTGGCGAGGGCATGCGAAATACTTGTGCGATTGAATCCCCAACACCCTTAAATCTTGTGCAACTACGACGAGCTTTCATAAAAACCTTTTATTTCGCACTATGCCATATGAAATTTATTCAATTACAAGCACCCCCCAAATTTTGAATATAATCCCTATACGCACCTAGTAGCGTATATCCAAGGGAATACGGTACTATCTAATTTGTTTTGGCATCTGATAGTCTCAATCTCCTTTCTTCTCTTTCCTCTTATTTTCTTCTATTTTCTTTTATTCAATCATAACACTAACCCTGACTAATGACCAGAGTTGCAATTTTTTCTCGCAAAAACGACAAATCTAAAACCGCAAATCAAAATATACTATTATGCTTGGATTTCAGTGCACATCTAAATTAATGTTGAATTTGTTGGCTATTTGAGCTTCTAAAGCTGAACTTAGCAATAACAATCTGAAACGGTTGGGTGAGGTTCTCGTGCAAAGAGGGATAGCTGGAACCCCTACTGAACCGAAGGGGCGAAAGGCCAACCCTCTGTCCCGTTCCTCCCTTAGCCTCGCCCGTGCTCTCCTCCACCCTCACCACACCATCATGGGTCGTCGCATGGTCGCACTCGCCATGCGACGTGCGCTGCGCGTGGCGTGGGATAGTGTCACCCATGACGCCCTCCCTTCCCATCGCTTGCCGCAACCACCCCTTCGCGTGCCATCCGCGCGGGGGGGGGTTGTTCCAAGCCGCGCGCCTGCCTCGTTGCCTCATGGTTTCGCGCCGTCACACTCACCGGCATCGCTCCCTGCCGCCCGAGCGTTGCTAGCGTGGAGCGGGCGGGGCGTCGGCGGCGGGGTGAGCCGGCATGCAGAGACGCGCGGGGAACCCGTGGAGCGAGCAGTGGCGGGTGGCGGCAGCACGGCGACGTCCGGCGTGGGGAACGAGGCGGAGTGGCGTGGCGTGCGGTGGGGAAGCGGCGGAGGGGGCGGGTGCGACGAGGCTTGGCGGCGAAGCACGCAGTGGAGAGCGGGCGGATGGGCCGTCGCTGACGCAGTTCAAGGGGCCCGCGGGGCGCGCGCTTTACACACGCCAGGCGCGCGAGCGTCTCACACTAACGCGGTATCCCCCCACCGCAACCCTCTGCGCCCTCTCCCATTCCCCGTTCCATCCATCCACGTAGCCACTCAGCGCTTATCAAAGCACACACGGCCGTCCTAACAGATCCATCCAGCCATCCTGACATGCACTGAATCACGCCCATCCAGTCACACTGAAATGTCTCCGTATGCCCCCTCTGTCCTCCCGCCCGTCCCTCCACTGACCCTTCTTCTCCCTTGTCCCTGCCCCCGCCCATGCCAAATGGCTTGTGCCACCACAGCCGTAACCAGCGCTTCCTCCCCCCCCAACCCCCCCGTGCGTGCAGGCCTCCGCATCTCGCCTGTCCTCCCGGCTTTCCCCTCGCCTGCTTGCCTTGCTTCCCACTCCGTGGCAGGAGCTGCTGCAACATCCTCGCACCGCACTACACCGTATTGCATGGCAATACAGGGATGCTGCAGGTATGACTGCCGTATGAAGCAGCAGGGACACCGCACCCGCTACTGCCCTTCTGTGCCGTCCACTGCCTTGCCTCCTGCACACCATCTCTCCCATCCAATCGCCCATTTTCTCCTCGTTCCTCTCGCCGCTTGCCCTTCCCCCGCCCCTCATGTGCAGCACTGCAGGTGGAGGCGTTCTGGCGCAATCACTCTTTGCTGCTGCTGTCGGCTGGGGGCATCTCCCTCTCTCTGCTGCTCTGGGGCTGCTCCTTCCGCCTTGCATCCCTCTTTCTCACCATGCCGCCTAACTCCCTCGGCCTGTCCTACCTCCTTGCTTCCTCCACTGCTGTCACTGCTCTGGTACGCCCCATTTCTGCCGCCGTATACCATCACCTGTGTCACCCCCATCTACCATGCCCTTTCCTCCCCTCCACCGTGCCACCGTCATTGCATGCTCCACTGTCCTTTGCACCGCCCCCTTCTCTCAACCCTCTGATCCCCCACCCCCCACACCACCCACAGGGCGTGGGGGTGCGGGCATACGCCACGATCAGCCCAGCAATGGTATACCGCATGGCCATGTGTGCGCTCAACACACATGCTGGTGCGCTCGAGGTGTTGGGAGCGCCACTGCTGGGAGCTCCTGTGAGGGCGTATGTGCAGGGGGGCGGCGGCATAGTGCTGTCTGGGATAGCCGTGCGGCCCGCTCCTCGGCAGTGCTGGCTTGTGTTCCGTGTGCGCGGGGCAGAGGGGCGGGCGGTGGTGAACGTGGAGGTGCAGCGGCACAACGGCCAGGTCAGGCGCCGTGCCCGAATCACAGCTGCCACCACATGAATCACTGCTGTGCTTGGTTTCTCCCTCACTTGCCTCTTGGCCCTTGGCATTGCCCTTGTGTGACAAGCTGCCGTCCCCCCTTGACGCGTTCTTGTCTTGAGCTGTCCCCCCTGTGCATGCAGTACGGTCTGCGGCTGGTGGCCCTGGACGTCGCAGCAGGCAGTGCAGGCAGCCAGCAGCTGCTGGTGGTGGGCGACGATGCGGCCCTGGCACGCGCTCAGCCCGTACTGCAGGGGCTCAGACTCGCACTGGACGGAGTGGAGAGCGAGCGAGGGGCAGAGGGGGCGCCTGTGGTGAAGGCCCAGCCGTAATAAGGCTGTCATGATGAGCACGTGGTCCAGCAGGTTTTGACACTACTCTAGTGCACATGGATGATCCATCCAATTAGGGCCTCCAGTGTTCGCATCTAGGGTAGCTCATTGCTCAAGTGTGCATGAATAGGGTGCAAGCTAGGGGCTAGATGTGGTAGCTTATTCTCAGACAAATTGCTACTGGCTACTCATGTGATGACTGCATTGGCAGTGGCAGATAAATCTCCAGAGTAGCCCGCTACGGTGAGTGCTCTGTGATCCTATCCAAGCGGCAGCCAACAGCACTCCTAGTGCAGCACAGTGAACACAACACTAGCGGGGCCTTGCAGTAGCCCTGCTTCCATGCAAGCACAGTGGTTCTCTTGCTGGCCAGCAAGCACATGGTAGTTCCAATCCAATACCCTGGGCCGCAGTCCCACATGCACAGCTGTGACACCATTTCTGGCAGTCATTGAGCCAGCACCACCCCCACAAAATATGTGGCTCTGCACGGTGCAGCAGCCCAGCCCATGAATGGGGCAGGCGCATGTTGGCGCAAGTGAGGGCGTGAGTGCACTGTGCCTAACGTGTGTCTCAGTGCAAGCAGAGCTGGTTCCATGTGGTGTGTGGGGGGTAAGCCATGCAGAGTCTTGCACATGCAGGTGGAGGAAGCGCAAGGAGTGCCGCACAAGTGGTAGAGAGCAAGCGCGGGAGAGATGGAGTCAGCATTCCCTACAGGCCGTTGGGATGAGCAGGGCCAGTAGGAGTGAGTGAGGGGTGGTTGGTGGGTGGGGCGGTGGTGTGGGGCAGTGGCTGCAGCGAGAGGTGCTGCATGCCGCCGCTCATGTGGCACAGCAGCATGTCCATCAGCCCCTCGCTCTCCGCTGCCTGCTCCGCATCCACCTCCCCCCCTCCCACGCTGCCCCCGGCCCCCCCTGCCGCTTCGTCCAGCCCATGCTTCCACCACGCGTCCACGCCTCCATCTCCCACCATAGCCGCATCCGCGCCCGTGTCCGTGGGAAAGAGGGCGGGCCACTCACAAGCCCTCGCACCACCACACGTGTCGGTGCTGTCGTACACACCATTAGCAGCACTGGCAGCGCCACGCCCATTCCACATCACACACCCCTTGTCCCCCGTCCCCTCTGACTGCCCATCGGTGCCCCTGCTGCTCCCACCCTCTCCACCCACTATCCCGCCACTATCTACCACATCAGACTCCTCTGCTTCCCACTTGCACGCACCATAGCCATTCCCCTGCTCCCCGCCCCCGCCCCCATCGTCCCTCAGGTACATGCCCACCTCCTCCCACTGCTCCTCCTTCACCACCACCCCTCCCCACTCCGCGACCCGCCCTCCCTCACTCCCCCCCACCGCCACGTCCCCACCATCCACCACCTGTTCGTCCTGTACCCCACCCCCGCTGCCCTCACCACCCTCTGGCGGAGCACGTGCAGCAGCAGGCACCGGGAAGCCAACCAGGTGCTCTGGGGTGAGCTGGAGGGGGAAAGGGGACGTGGAGAGATGGAGGGGGAGAGGTAGGGGGAAGGGCATAGGAAGGGAAAAGGGAAGGGGAACGAGGGAGCGCGAGGGCCAGGTAAGAACTGAGTGGGGGGGGGATGCTGGGGGGAGACAGGAGAGGATGAATGGCAGCATGGTATGCGGTGGACAGCGTGTCATATCATGACATGGAATGGGTATGTGACATGGTGACATGGGGCATGGTGCGATGGCACGGCATGGTGGGGGCGAGGCGAGCACCTGGAAGAGGCCGTCGTGCGACGAGAGGTCATCATAGTCCAGGTCGTACTCCAGCGCCGATAGCTTGCTCGATAGCAGCTAAAGGCCAGCACACGGAGGGGCGGACGGACAGAACATGTGAGTGATGCACGTAAAGCAAGGTGGAACACCCATGGTGGAGGGCTTAGGGGGACAGACAGACCACCCCACACACACACAAAAAGACCACGCGTGTAGAGGCATGCATGATATGAATGAATAAGGTGCAGCATGCACACTCGCATGCGCAGGGAACATAACAGGCAGTGTGCCGCTGCGCTGTGGTGGGGTGTGATGGGGTGGGGTGGGGTGGGGTGCGGTGTGTTGTGCTGGTGTGGGGTGGGGTGTAGTGTGGTGTGCTGTAGTGTGCTGTGGTGTGATGTGATGTGGTATGGTGTGGTGTGGTGGGGTTTCTCACCTCCACCTGCAATTGCAGCGAGCGCACGTAGTTGATTATCTCGTCCAGTATCATGGCCTTGCCCGTCACCTGCACACACACGCACACATCCACGCACACTCACCCATGCGCGCGCGCGCGCACGCACACACACACACACACACACACACTCACACACACACACACACGCACGCACGCACGCATGCAAGCAAACACAGAGAGCAGGGTCTGTCTACGACTCCCTCTGCTGCTGTCTATTGACTCTTCGCATGCTGCTGTCGGATGTGCCATATGTTGTGTGCACACCAGGGCCTATTTTTCAAGGTTTGTTGCCCTAAATGACATTTTTTAACCTGGCCCCACAACTAAAGGGTTGGTTTTTTATGAACCCGGTGAATCAAGGGTTTATGCAGAGTGCAACCCTAGAGATTAAGGGTAGAATATTTTCCTACCCTGAGAGTACTACTAGTGCTGGTAGGGTTGTCGGGGGGATCTCCTTAGGAGGAACAACTCCCTTAGAAGATTTTTGTTGTTCTCCCCTCACAGCACGTACTCACACCTTGAAGTCACAAACAGACGGGAGACAAGTCCCTTATAAAATTTTCTTCTTCTCCCCTCACAACAAGTTACTCACACCTCGTAGTCACAAACAGAGGGGAGACAACTCCCTTAGTATATTTTTGTTTTTCTCCCCCCACAGCACGTACTTTCACCCAAGAAAAACAGAGGGGAGATAACTCCCTTAGTTCGTTCTTCTCCCATCACAGCAGGTTACTCACGCCTTGTAGACACAAACAAAGGGGAGACAACTCCCTTAGTGGATTTTCGTTATTCTCCCCTCACAGCCCCGTGCACGTTCAACGTTGAACATACACCTTTCTCGTAGTGCCCATACCTCTCCTGGTAGATTCTAACCTTGGCTGGCAGTGAAAAGGGTACTGTGCAAACGAACCCTAATGATTAAGGGTTGCCTTCCGCTGGACCCTGAAAATTAAGGCTAAAAGCTCAAGGAGCCTGATTTCTTAAGGGTGACTAAAAACCAAAAGTAAGCCCTGGTTCACACTTGTTCCCCCGCCCATGCAACCCTAACCTGTAACCTCCACTCGCTCCCCCCCAAACGGCTGCACTCTCACCTTAGCGCACGTGGGCACAAGACTCTGCAGCACGCTCATGCGCTCCGATATCTTCTCCCTCCGCACCTGGAGCCGCGCACACACGCATGCCCACAGGGGGGTGTAGGGTGGGCAGGGGCAGAGCGGAGAGGAAGTAGCGAACATTGTGCAGCAGAACGGTAAGGTGAGAAAGTGGAGAGGGAAACATGGAGAGAGGCAGTGGAGTGAGACATACGCATGATGTGCGAGCATCAGCACAGCGCAACACAGAACCATGATGTCTCACCCTTTCTGCAATGCTGTGGCTGTCCGTGGCCTGCCCTCTCCTCGCTCGCACATGCACCACTCCCGCACCACCCCCCTTCCCCTCCGTGCTTCTGCTTCCCCCCCTCACGCCCTCCCTCTCATCACCGCTCCACGCCTCCTCCCCCCCCCAACTGCCCTGCCTCTCCATCACCATGCCCTGCTCTGCCCCAATGCCACTCCCACACTCCCCCTCCTCCACCTCCCTCTCTTGCTTGCACCATGGCCCCTGCCCGCCCATGCCACCACCACCACCTGCAGCAGCAGCAGCAGCAGTGGCGGTGGCAGCGGAAGCAAGGGAGAGAGGGCCGTGGGCGGGGAAAGGGGCGGACGCTGCAGAGAAGGTGGACGCAGATGGCTGCACGTCAGGTGCAGGCTGCATGGCAGAGGGAGGGGGCGAGCAGGGAGAGAGTGCATTGGCAGGCGAGCAGGGGTTGGGGCGAGGTGTGGTGGGTATGAATGGGTGGCATGTAAGATGGTGCCGCTGAGGCGCCACAGCTGACTAAGGCGCACACACAAGGGGGCTACCAGAGTGGCTCCCGAGAGGAAGGGATACAAGGGAGGTGGTACAAGGAGAACAAAGCGACAATGGGGAGCAAAGAGGCGGGTGGGTGAGAGGGGGGCTATGCGGGGTGCACTCACCTGGCCATGCATGCCTGGCACGGCGCCGTGCGGGTCAGCAGGCAGTCGGCGCCGCTTGCGGCATGCGAGGGCAGCATCGGAGCCCACTGCACAGCAGGCACACGCGCACGCATGGGGCAGTGGAGAGAGCGGACGCACGAGGGTGAGGTGCCGTAAAAGGTGTGCAGGGACGACACAGCCATGGGGCTGCACTCGTGTATGTGGATGGCACGACACGTGCTGGCATACATACATGGCAAGCACATGCTCGTGATCAGTGCCACTGGCTGGGCATCGAAGTGCTTCCACACACGGACACGTATGTCACAGCCCACATACCATCAACAGCCCACATACCATCAACAGCCCACATACCATCAACAGCCTGTGCGCGGTGCACAGAAGGGGGGCAGCTGTTGGTGCGAGTTAGCTGCCTCACTCCCCTTCCTAGCAATTTCTTCCGGGCCTCCTCCCGCTCCCACTCCTCCCTCTCCCGCTCCTCCTTCTCCTCCTCGTCCTCACACAACCTCACCCCCTCACTGCTCTGCCCTATCGCTGCCTCCCCTACCCCCTCCCCTGCCGCCTCTCCTGCCCCCTCTCCGCCGCCATCCACTGCCTGCCACACCATGTTCCACCCCGCACCCTGCACTCCCCCTGCCCGCTCCCTCTCCCTGCCCGCACTCGCAGCCTTCTGCAGCCTGCGCCCGCCCCCACCTCTGCTTCTTCCTCCCCCCCCGCCGCCTCTCATGTGGCTGTCTCCCCCCAACCCCCCTTCGCCGCCCGCCATCACCCCCTGCTGCAACCCCCCTGCTCTCCCCTCTGCACCCCCCTGCGAGTGCGTTTGCAACTGCTGCTGCACCGCCCGCCATATGCCCTCTATCTCCCCCGCCAGTGCCCCGCTCTCACTCCCCCCGCCCACCCCTTTCACCCCTGCTCGCCCCTGCCCTGTCGCCCCCCTCCCCGCGCCCCCATGCTCCAGCGCAGCCGCAATGGAGCTCGCTGCTGCCGCCACTGCCGCCGCCGCCTCCGCCACTGCGCTCTCACGCGCGCCTCTATCCCGCCCCCCCCCCCTCTCCCCAACCCCGTCCCAGGCCGCGCACGACGGTTGGGGGGGTTGAGGGGGGAGAGGGGGGGTGTGGGCGTGGGGCAGAGAGGGTGGCGCGGAGGGGAGGGCGAGCGGGGAGAGGAGGGAGGCGGCCATGGAGGCGGTGCGGCGGGGGGCGAGGGAGGAGAGGGGGGAGGGGGCGGGGGGGCGACTGCGGCAGAGACGAGAGACGAAGGGCGAGTCGGCGAGAGGGGGGCCTGGGGGAATGGGAGGGGCGGAGGGCACACATGTGAGTGCGCTGGTGGGTACACGGCACTGCGTCGTCCGGCGGCAAGGCATGCATGGCTGCACAGACGTGGTTCACACAAGGCACATCACAGCACGTCACGGCACTACATACCCCGGCTGTTGCTTGCACTTCCGCCTTTCTCCCTGCGCGCCGTGCTCGCCTCGCCATTGCCGCCCGCCTCTCCCCCAACCCCTACGCCGTGCGCCGCCGCCAGCGCAGCGGCGGTCCCTGTCGCGGACCATCCCAAGCCCTGCACGCCCGCGCTACTCCCGCCGCCGCCCTCCGTCCCCCCCACCGTCACCACCTGCGCGCGCTCCACGTCCAGGCTCCGCGTGCGCCTCAACTCCGCGCTGCTCTCTCCGGCCCCCGCCAGCCGCGCCTGCCGCCGCGCGTACAGCGGAAGGCGCCCCTGCGGCGAGCTTCCCGCGGGCCCGGCGGTTGGAGGAGTGCAATGCGATGCGCCGGGCGACGAGAAGGCGGGGGCGGGTTGCGGCAAGTACGGCGCAGGTGAGGCGCTCGGCGCGCAGTCGAAGTCCATAGCGCCCGCGCCACTGGCGGACTGCGAGTCCGCCTCGGCGGCGGGAGTAGCGGCGCCCATTGCGGTTGAGCCGCAGCAGCCCCCGGGATGCCGCGGCGGGCCAATTTCCTCCTACCGCCGTTTCCGTGCGCCTCCTCCCTCCTCCTCGCCGCTTTCCACCTCCAGACTCCGCGCCCTTCGCTGGGCTGCGTGCTGGGTGCCACAAGCGCGGAAGCGGCGCGCAGTGCAGGCACACGGTGTGCGAAGAAATGGCGTTGTCTGCAACGCGCGATGATAGGTGTCGCGGTGCTCAATGGCGTGGCATGCACGGCACTAGAGATACGTGCTTGCTGAAGTGCAGAGAAGGCTCATCTGTGGCTCACACACGGAGGCAGGCTTCCATAGATCCTCTCTCATCTGACCAGGACAGGGAGGTGCTTGCGCCCAAGTCAGAGCAGCACAACCACCCCATCCACCCCACCTACCACCTGCCCTCCAACCACATGCCACCGTCAACCACTGACCCCACTGCTGCGTCAGCACGCAGTTGCCACAGCCCAACTGCGGCAGCCACACACTGGGTGTAGAGGTCGTTCAACTCTGGTTCGGTTTCTCTATATTTGTATTTGAAGATGTATTCTTTCACACCTTCCACTTTTACGTCACTACATCGTTTCAACTTTGGATCCATTTTGTCGAAACGACCTTTCCATTACTTGTTTCCTTACAACATTAAGGTAGTTGTTCCCGTAGGCAAGTAGTGCCATCAGTGGGACAGTTATTCTATTGGTCTCTTTTTTAGCTCATGGAAGGCCTTAAAAAAAATTGCAGAACGATTTGGCTCGTGGGGATGTGATGAAAATATTTTTCTGTCTTATGAAATGGTAAGCTTCAGATTGACATGATTATTTTGTTTCGCTTAGTAGCTGGGGGTTGGTGGTTAGTTTGAAACGGAGCACTTAGGTCAAGGTCGGATAGTATTTCTGCCGAACCCCACACTGGACCGTAGCAGTCATATTCCGTGCTTACAGCGGCTTGTAGATTTGGCCGCGGGCGTTAGGAGGTAGATCGAGCGTGCGGGCACTCAGATGGTGGTGGGCGGGCTTTAGGGGGCCCGAGCAATTCGTTGGTCGTGTAGCGCGCGCTCCTTGTGCGTGGCAGTGCGTGGGGGCGAGGTGGATAGCAGGACGTGCGTGCTGCCAGCGCGGAGCGCACAGCATCTGCCTGCGGTAAGCCTCACTAACGCCCACTCCACGCCCACACATCACCGTCCGATCGCTTGAGAGCGCGGTACACACGGGGCTTTAGTGGCTTGGTGGTGGGCGGGCGAAATGGCGCAAGTCGTGCTGTAGACGCCGCTGCAAGTCAGTCGCGCTACCTCTCACTCGCCTCAACGCGGACGCACCATGCCGATCGCTGACCGCTGGATCATGTGCTGCCACGGCGTCGCGCGCCGCCTGGGATGCATGGTAGCATGTGCCTCGCTGCCACTCGCTGTCGCGTGAATGCATGTCGTCCGTCGCCTCGCTCAAGACTGCGCCACCGGACCCACTGCAATCATCGCCTTCGCTCACCGCGCCTTGTCCCTTGCTCGTATCGCACCCGCTCCCTCACTCGCCAATCAACGCTACACACTCACTCTTTTTCCTCTCGCTCGCCTTCCCCCTCTGCACTCCCTCCCGCCCCGCCCTTCTCCTTTCTCCTTCCCACCTCCCTCATCCCCTCCCCTCCCCTCCCCCCCGCCGCGCGCCAGTTTATCTCCCGCCATGGCGCAGGACACCCCTAGCCCGGGATTAAGCGAGGCTGGCGGGGGGCAAGGCGAAGGCGCAGGGGAGGGGAGGGGCACGCATGCGCGGATGGGCGCGGACGGGTGCTTCGTGCTGCGCACGGGCGCGGCCATGCCCGCCATCGGGCTGGGCACGTGGCTGGAGGGCGACGGCGGCGAGCAGACGCAGGAGGCGGTGCGCGTGGCGCTGCAGTGCGGGTACCGCAGCATCGACTGCGCGCACCTTTACGGCACGGAGATGGCCGTGGGGCGCGCGCTGGCGGACGCGTTCAGCGCGGGTGTGTGCCGGCGGGAGGACGTGTTCGTGGCGTCCAAGGTGTGGTGCACCACCTCCAACGCCAGCCGCGTGCTGCAGGTACGCCCCTCGCCGCGCCAACTCTGCACGTGCTTGTACCCACACCGAACCACACCGCAATTCCACTGCAGCACGCATATCCTAATCTGCCTCACTCCGCTTTCAAATGCTCGCCTCGTCTTTTTAGTCCCATGGTCCCCATCCCCTCTCCCCCCTCCCCACCCCCCCACCAGGCGTGTGAGCGCGCGCTGAAGAACCTGTGTCTGGCGCACCTGGACCTCTTCCTGCTCTCGTGGCCGCTCGCCTCGCCCCTCAACCGCTCCCCTGCCGACGCCACGGACCCCCCGGTGTCGTCGCCGCGGCGCGGGCAGCAGATGTCGCTGAACGTGGCGGAGCTGTGGGCGGGCATGGAGCAGCTGGTGAGCAGCGGGCAGGTGAAGGCCATCGGCGTCGCCAACTTCAGCGCGCCCATGGTGCTCGACCTGCTCTCCCACGCACACGTGCTGCCCGCCGTCGTGCAGGTGAGCTGCACACACAATGGCATCAGCCACGTGTGGTGACGCACGCTCGCACGTGTGTGGCCGTGGCAGATGTTGCACATCAGCTGGGCGCGTGCTCGCTCTCTCACATCCACACCAACCCCGTATGGCCCCCTCCCCATCCGCTTCTGCGTGCCCCGTGTGTCCCCCACAGGCGGAGATCCATCCGCTGTGGCGGCAGGAGCAGCTGGTGGAGGTGTGCCACGCGCACGGCATCCACGTGTCGGCGCACACACCACTCGGCACACCGGGGGTGGCACCGCTGGCGCTGTCGTCGCAGGAGCAGGCGGAGATGAGCCAGTGGAGCGTGCCCGCCCCTGCTGGCAAGGGCCGCTCGCGCACCGTGCACGGGCCCATGCTCAGGCACTATGCGGTGCAGGAGGTGGCTGAGAAGTACGGCAAGACACCAGCTCAGGTATGCAGGCCGTGCTATGCCGCTAATAGCTCTGTGCGTGTGCTCGCTGTGATGTGTGTGGTTCCATCACGCAAACAGCTATCATTGCTAGCATTGTGTGGGTGTGCGTGCTTGGCCGCGGTTGCACTGCATTGCTTAGCTCCATCACTGTTTCTATCCGGGCCCGCACGGCTGCTGTGCATGTGGATGTGGTGGCAGGTGATCCTGCGGTGGGCGCTGCAGCGCGGCACGAGTGTGCTGCCGGTGAGTGTGCGGGAGCAGCGCATCCGCTCCAACTACGCGTTGCTGGACTGGCGCCTCAGCGACTGCGACTGGGCGCGCATCAACGCCATCGAGCCGCAGATCCCCCTGCTCGGCCCCTGCCTGGGGCCCGCCGCCTCGCTGCCCAACAGCGCGAGCATAGGCGGGCGACCAGAGACGTTCCAAGAAGAGGAGGAGGACGTGGCGGGGGACGACGGTGACAAGGGCAAATAGGCCATGGGAAGTGCCGCAAGGGGAGGGGGTGGTAGAAACTACTGTGGGGGGGGGCTTGGGGTGGGATAGAGGTTGGGACTCTGGGTGATGTTCTTGAAGTGCATGCTGATTTGTGGTAAGGTGAGGGACAGGTGGCAGTGAGCAGCACTGAATGCACCATCTTGTAACCGTGTTTCCGTTGTAGGTTCGAGTTGTTCCAGATCCTAGCACATGGTTATTGCCACGTAATGCTGGAACTCTCTTGTTACTGTGTTGATAAGCTACAGTGACTATCATAGGTGCAATGCACATGTGCTGTAACACAGTTGACCTTTTAGCTCCCAAGAAAGCTGTCTGCTACAAGCTACTGTGAGCCTACAACCCTGTATGCTGCTGCTGCTCCACTCCATGCTCACTCCTGCCACCCTCCTGTGTGTGGCGCTGCTGCCTCTGCTGCTCGTTGTCAATGTGCTCCTCAACAGCAATCCACGCCACTGCATGCTCTCTCTCGCGCGTGCTGTCCTGTTGCTGCTGCTCATGCACCTGTGGCTGCTGGTCCGTGTAGTGGTGGTGATGGTGGTGGTGGTGATGGTGGTGGTGCGGGTGGTGTGGCAGGTTGTGCCTCATCTTGTGCGGCCACGCCACATCATCGCCCGCCAGGTCCTCCCCTTCAATGGCATCCCCCTCATCCTCCAGCCGCCCCCTGCCCTCCCTCCGCTCCTCCGCCATCTCCTCTGCGAACCGCACAGAGCTTGCTCGCCGACTGCCCCGCACTAACCGCTCTTCCTCCCCTTCCTCCTCCTTCTCCTCCCCCTCCTCCCTCCCTGCCCCCGGCTGTGCATCCAGCGGCTCGAACATGCTGTCCCCGCCCTCCCCCCCCAGCAGCATGCGCGCAGCAGCCACAGCCAGCCCGCTGCTGCTGTGGGGGAGCGAGAAGGACGAGGAGCGGGGCGTGGGGGCCACGTACCCACGCCCGCCGAAGAGCGGGCGCATGTACGTGTCGTCGAACCACCGCCACAGGTCGTGCAGGTCGCGCTCGTGCGCCGTGAGGATGCGCGAGGCGAGGCGCGCGTCGGGCATGCGCAGCCCCGCCATGGAGGTGGCGGGCAGGCACACCACTAGGTCCGCCTCCAGGTGCCCCGAGCCCCCCTGCGGGTACAGCAGCCGCGGCCGCGGGGGGGCAGCACGCATGGCGGAGGGCACGGAGGAGGCGGGTGTGGAGTTAGAGGCGGAGAGGGTGGGGGGGGGCGTGCTGGGGGGGAGGGAGGGGGACGCGGTGAGGTAGGCAGCGGCAGTGGCGGGGGAGATGGGTGGCGGGGGGAGGTACTTGGGGGAGGAGGGCCCCTCGCTGTAGGCGCTGGACGAGCGGTGGAGAGTGAGCGGCAGGAAGTAGTCGATGAGCGGACTCGTCAACACACCAAACACCTGGGGGCAGGACGGGGGATGGAGGGGGAGGTGGGGGTCGTAAGGAAGAGTAGGGGAGTGGGATGAGGAATAGGGGTGAGGGCGTTCGAGTGGGGAGATGAAACGCGTGGCGCAAAGAATGGCGATTTGGTTGGAAACAGTGTGGGGTGATGGGCATGGGGTGTGTGAGTTGCAGTGAGATGCGCATGTTATGTGGGTGAGACCAAGGCTCACTAGGGTGGAGAAGAGCACAAGCGCTATGGTGGACGCTATGAGCATGGCTGCTGTGCTGTCACCCTCCTCTGAGAACTGCAAGCACACACGCACATGCACACATGCACATGCACACATGCACACATGCACATGCACACTTGCACACATGCACATGCACACACGCACACATGCACATGCACACATGCACACACGCACATGCACACATGCACACATGCACATGCACACATGCACACATGCACATGCACACATACACATGCACACACGCACATGCACACACACACATGCACACACGCACATGCACACATGCACACACACACATGCACACACACACACGCACACACACACATGCACATGCACACATACACATGCACACGTGCACACACGCACATGCACACATGCACACATGCATACACGCACATGCACACATGCACACATGCACATGCACATGCACACATGCACACACGCACACGCACAAGCACACATGCACACACGCACACGCACATGCACACACGCACATGCACATGCACACGCACATGCACACGCACACGCACACGCACACACACACATGCACACGCACATGCACACACGCACACGCACATGTACATGGACACATGCACATGCACACATGCACACACGCACATGCACACATGCACACACGCACATGTACACATGCACACACGCGCACGCACATGCACACATGCACACACGCACACGCACATGCACACATGCACACACGCACATGCACATGCACATGCACACATGCACACGCACATGCACACATGCACACGCACACGCACACACACACATGCACACGCGCACATGCACACACGCACACACCCACATGCACACGCGCACACGCACATACACACATGCACACACACCCACGAACACACACATACACCCACAAACACACACGCAGACATGCACATACGCACACACACGCACACACGCACACATGCACACACACACACACACACACACACACACACACACACACGCACGCACACCAGCAGGGCTAGAAACAGAGGGTGAGGGTGAGGGTGAGGGTGAGGGTGAGAGTGAGGGTGAGGATGAGGGTGAGGGTGGGGGTGAGGGTGAGGGTGAGGGTGAGGGTGAGGGTGAGGGTGGGGGTGGGGTTGGGGGTGAGGGTGGGAGCATACAGCGGAGTATGTGAGGGCGATGGAGACAGCACCTCGCATGAGACCAGCCCACCAGATGACCACCTGCATGGCATGGCATGGCATGGTAGGGAAAGCACCGAATGGCACGGCAGGTTACACGGCAGGGGCAAGAAGATGCTGGGTGTGAAGTGAATGACAGATGATTGCAGGGCAGGGCGCGCACACAGGTTCAAGGCACGCACAGCACAGGATGCAGCTGTGTGTTCTGTTGAAAGAATGAGGCCAGACCAGACCAGACCCGACCAGACTGCCAGTCCAGGTGGAGGGAGGAGGTGAGGGCGGCACCACACGCACCCACCGCATGCGCTGCGACGCCCATCACGCTCCTCCTGCTTCGCCTGCAACGCCCCTGCATGTGCCTTCATGCGTCTCCCCCTCCCTATGCACACGCCCTTCAACCCCCCTGCCATCCCGCCAAGCCCCTTCCCCCTAGTGCGTCCGACTGTGCCTCTCCCCTCTATGCCCTCATGCATGCCTCCCCCCCACGCCTCTTTCCTCCCCTCCCCCCATACCCCCTGGGGCGCACCTGGTGGTTGAGGTGCAGCACGTGGCGGTCCTTCCTCTGCAGGTTGAGCAGCGCCGACAGCGGGAACACAAACGCCGCGCGCCCCGCCAGCACCAGGCACAGCAGCACAGCGAACAGCACGGACGCGTCCCTGACACACGCATTTGAAGAGGGGGCGGGGAGCGACAAGGGAGAAGGTGGGGCGGGGCGGAGAGCGGATGGGGTGGAGAAGGAGGAGTGGAGATCTTGGGTTGCAGAGGTGGGGAGTCACATTTGCGCGGCGGAGGAGCATCGTGAAGATGCAGGGACACGATGGCACGTGAGCGGCACAAGATGGACAGTTGGATGCAGCGGGTACCTGACGTTGACGCTGGTCCACTTCTCGGAGTCCAGCGCGTCCATGCCCACGTACATGAAGATGAACGTCTCCGCTATGAACGACATCGTCGCAAATGCGTGCCTGCCACAGCGGCCGCCAATACACACATAGGCGGCCCGAAAGAGAGGACACACAAGCTCCACCTGTGAATGCGAATACGAATGGTGTGAGGGTGTGTCTCCTTCAAGCTCCAGCTGTGTGTGTCACCATTGCTGTGGAACAGCCCAGACACAACCATGTGGCTGCACGCTTCGTGCCCTGCATGCTGCATGTGTCTCACCCACCATGCAGTTACCTCCCAAAACCCTTCAAACCTCATTCTTCCCCTCTCCAAACCCCTAGTGGCCCAGTGTCCTCTCTCCATCATCCCCCATGCACCCCGCCCCCTGCGTGGCTCACTTGGTGGTGACTCTGGAGCTCTCGGTGACGTTGTGCCACGTGTAGTGGCTCATCACGATGCCCGCGAAGAACACGGACAGGATGCCGCTGAGGCGCAGCACCTCCGACAGCACGTACGACACATACGCCATCAGCGCCATCAACGCGATCTCGCGGTCCGTCGCGTGGCTGCCATGCACGCACACGGGCAGGGGGCAGGGCGAGAGAGGAGGAGGAGAGGAGTGTGGTTGAGGAATGTGGTTAAGGAGTGTGGTTGAGGAGTGTGGTTGAGGAGTGTGATGTGAATATTCCATCGGAGTTGAGCCAGGAAAGAGGTTTGCAGTGATGGTGGAGGGAGTGGAGGGGAGGGAACACGGCATGAGGGGAGGAGCAGGCAGGGAGGCGTGGCAACAGTTACCTGGCGAAGTAGAGAGTCTTGATGACATATGCAGATAGCAGACCCAGCTGCACGCACACGCGCACAGGCGCGTGGCAGGAGGGGAAGGGAGGAGTCAGGGAGGTGCGGGCCTGTTGTGTCATGATGCATGCATGCACGGTGACAGAAACAACCACACTCCTATGCCACTGTCTCCACGTGCCCCTCAACTACCGCATGCCCTTCTCTCTCCACTCTCGCATCCCCCCTCCAACTAACCATGGCACAGAGGACAGGGCACACGGCACACAGCACACAGCATGGAGCAGAGGGTGGAGGGCGGGGCTTGGACTGACAGCGACGCCGAGCAGCGTGGAGGCGGTGAAGAGGTAGAGGAAGTCGGAGAGCACGCCCAGCAGCGCGGGCAAGGACAGCGCGTGGTCGGCGGGCGAGAGCGAGAGCTGCTGCACGGCGCGGAAGAGCACGATGGACGTGGCGTCGTTCACCACGCCCTCGCCAAACACCAGGCTGTACACCAGCGGCTGCTCCTCCTGGTCCAGCACCTGCCACGCCGCCACGGGGGGGGCACGGGACCACACGCAACGGGAGGGGAAGGGACGAGCGTGGTAGAGGGAAGAAGGCGATCATAACAGTGTAACCATGTGCACACACATGACCCCTCCCTCAAGTCCCCTCCCTCAACCGAACCACCTTTCACCTCTCCACCCTCCCCATTATTCCCGCACCCTCCCCATCCCTCACTCGCTCGCCTCCCCCCCCCCCTGCCCCCTTCTCCCCCCAGCGACCTGCAGCACGGAGACGGAGTCAGTGGCGGAGAAGATCACGCCCAGCGCTGCACGGGGGGCCAGGGAGGGGAGAAGGGGGTTTCAGGGAGGGCTTGGGTTGGTGGGAGAAGTTTCCCAGGCAGTGTGGTTGGCCCAGTGCGATAGAATGGACCCAAAAGAGATGACCACCGATGGACGCAGCGCGCAATGCCGCTGAGCAAGAGACGCGTGGCGTGGCACTGACCAAGGTACACGTGGCTGGGCTGAAGAGGCAGGCCGAGGATAGGGAAGAGCAAGTTGCAGCCTGGAAAGAGTGGAGGGGAGGGGCGGCATGGGGTTTGGGAGGAGAGATGCGCGAGGGGTGGATGAGACGGGTGATGCGCGCGAGCAGCGACAAGTGTGGGAGCGGGAGGTGCAAGTGAGGCATGCACGGGCGGACGACATTAGCAGCTAAGTGGTGCAGCAGGAAGGGGGTGGACGAGGGGGGCGCGAGAGGCAGTGGGAGGGTGTGGTGTGGTGTGGTGCGCGTGCGACCTGCGGTGATGACGGCGAATGAGATGAACACCCCCGCGATGCCGTACGCCATGATGGCGCCGAAGTTGCGGAAGAACTGCTTCTTCTTCACCTGGAACCTGCCGCGCGCCCCACACACGCCACACCGGGGAAATTAAGGGGAAATGGGAGGCGGGGGGGGGAGGGGGAGGGAAGGTTGAGAGGAAGGAAGAGGGGGAGAGGGGGGTGTAGGGCGTTGAGCAGCAGTGTGGGCGGCAGCGACAGGCGTGGTGCAGGGCAGGTCGATGAGGTGCCTCACCCCCATCGCACGTCTCTCCCGCACACGCACACCCATGCCTGCACCCTGCCCTCTCACCTCTACCATGCCATTTTCACCGTTGCACTGTGTGGGCTACCAGGGGCGGTGGCGCGCGGCGGTGGTTACCCGGCGTTGAAGATGATGGGCGGCAGCAGGTACATGAAGAACAGGTCCTCGTCGAACCGCAGGATCATCGAGCTCGCGCCGCCCCGCACCACCAGCACCACCGCGCCCGACGCCAGGCCCTGGCCGCACGCACGGATGGGGGCGACGCGGAGAAGGACACGCAGCGAGCGATGGACGCTTGAGGGAAAAAGGCAGGGGACGACAGGAGAAGAGCAACGAGAAGGCTCAGGGAGGAGAAGCGGAGAAGCGTAAAAACGAAAGGCGGGGAAGCATTGCGAACGTTGTGGGTTGTGCGGAGCAGCGAGGAGGGGGGAGGTGAAGGGGGAGGGGCAGCGGGGACGGACGAAGAGGATGGCGGTGACGGCCTCGTTGACCCAGCGCACGCCCTCCAGCAGGTGGCCCGCCACGATGCACGCGCACAGCAGCCCCACGAACAGCGTCAGCGCCGCCACGTCCGTGCCGCCCGCCGCCACGCCCAGCACCGACGCCAAGCTCACCACCGGTGTGCCGCCGTGCGACGCCGCAACCGCCGCAGCCGCATGGCTCGACCCCGCCAGCGCTGCAGCCGGCGCTAGAGGCGGGGGCGGCAAGGACGGGGGGTAGAAGACGTGGTCCATGAGCGCCGGCAGGACGGCCCGCGCGACAGGCGCATGGAGCATCGACAACGGCGAGGACGGCGAGGAGCGAGCGAGCGGAGAGGGAGTACTACTGGCTTATTACCAGCGCCTGTGGTGAAGGGCGGCGCAGTTTACTACTGGCAGCCTAAGGATTGATCTGGCAAAGCCGAGGATCTATAGTAAGCGCCTAATTTGACAGAGAGCGGAGGACAATAATTGTTGGAGAATGACAAGAAGCAGGATGGCATGGCATGGTCCATGGATAGCGCGGGTTGCACAGTGGCACCACCATCACATGCAACCTGTGGTCGCATCGCCACACACAAATATTGTGCGATGGCTGTCAAGTCGCCATTACCATCGCCAACTGTCGTCCTCAAATACGCGATCTTCCTCTGTGGCTGCGACGAGTGACGAAATCGCGAGTCGAGAACTAGTTACTGGCCAATGGGTTGGTGGTGTGGGAGAAGGGGGTTGGAGGGGCGAATTACGCGCTTGGTGAATGTACTCCAATCGGTGCGGCAGCCGACGAGGATCGCAAATACACTATAGAGGATTCTACAGATGCGAACATTTGGTATCCGAGACTATTGCATGGGTATAAAGTTCGTAGATGACACATTTAAATGCATCAATGAAGGGGTTTGCATGTGAAGGCAAAAGCCACTCAATTTCATACACCGCTATACAGACAGAAAGAATGTGTGGTAGATGAATTCTATACCAAACCTCCAAGCTTCCGGTGGAAACCCCTATTTCTACGTGCTTTCTTTCTTCCCTTCATCCACATCCATGGGTGCTGCTCCCCTGTGCTCCTCTGGGTCAGTGTGTGGTGTCACGCGTGCTGCCTCCTCCACAGCAGCCCGGGCATGTGACGGTGCACCCGCCATGCCACCATGTGCACTCAGGTTGGGCTGCACTGGCAGCACACCAGCAGCAGGCCCCACAGCCAGAGGCCCTCCAGTGCAAGCCATGCCTCCAGCCAGGCGCATGTGAGGGCCCCCGGGTGGGATGGGATGGGGTGCAGCTGCCGTGCCATGGGCTGCTGGGCCTGGCGCAGAGGCAAGGGGGGCAGCAGTAGCAGGTGGAGCAACGGAAGCGATGGAGGGAAGTTGCATGGCAAAGGGATTGGTGGCGGCAGCCAGAGGGTAGAGGCTGCTGCTATGGGCTGAGTGGGGAGGAGTGGGCACAGCAGGGGTCAGCTCGGTGCCTGACGATATGCGCTGCGTGCAGTAGGCTGGGGTGGTGGCAGGGGAGGGACCGGCAACATGGGTAGGAGGCAGCACACTGCCCTGCACATCCGCTCCTGCACTTTGCCCGCCTTCCTTCCCCTCCTCGCTACCAGCAGAGCCACCCCCACTCTCCACTCCCCCGTCTGCTGCCTTCTCTGCCTTCCCGCCACCCTGCCTCACCTCAACGCCCTGCGCTCTCTCCCCCTCGCCCCCCGCACCACTCGCCATCCCTCCCCATGCAGCGCCTCCTCGAGCCTCCCCCTCCTTGGCGCCTGCCATGCCTGCGCCATCGTCCCCTGATTGTCCACCAGAGCCACCCCTCGCTGTGTGCGCGGCCTCTCCGCGGCCCGCGCTCTTGCCGTCGTCCACCGCCTCCGCCGCCTGCGAGCTGCCTCCACCCCTCGCTGCGCCTTCCTGCCCTTGCTTGCTGCCCGTCGCTGGGCCGCCTTGCTTCTCCGGCGCTTCCTCCTCGCGCTCTTTCTCGTCCGTCGCAGCTGCGCGCGACTCCTCTGACGACTCGCGGCGGCCCTGCACGGACGCCATGGCGTGCGCTGCTCTTGCGGGGACGTCAGTAGCTCGCTGTGCTCTCCAAAAATCTAACCACGAGGAGACAAGCCTTGCGAGGGTTGCCGAACCGTGCTGAAGAATTGTGCTTCTTGGAAGAAGCGCAATGCCTTCTTGCATTTCGCAGTACGGATTGGTTTGGAACATTTCAGATGGGCCCCTTTCGAGGTGCACAATGCGCAGAGCCACATTTCAATGTCATGCGCACATGCATGGCATTGGGCCGAGGTCGCCAATTCCCTCGCCACGTGCCTTCCTCCTCCTCCCATGGCCCCTCCGAAAGCGCTCCGTACCAAGCATCCCGAGCAAAGCCCATGGCACGGCGATCACTCGCCGCGCCTGCTTCGGGGAGAAGGATCGTTCGCTGCACTCGCTCTGGCCTGGCACTTGCGCTGGTCTGTGGTGACTGATGCACTAACGGCGACTTGAGCAATCTCGCACGTGGTTTCATCGTCAACACGGCTCTCGGATCGACCATGGCGGAGAGGCAGCAGCCGCAGCAGCAAGGACCGCCCGCGGCAGACGCGCAAACGGAGGTGAGGCAAGCGCGCCGAGCGGGAGAAGCTGCGACGTGTGTCTCGCGCGCTGCTTCCATCTCACGGCCTTGGCGGCGCCCGTCTCATCGCCCCGTTCGCTTGCCATCCCATCGCTTCTCATCTCTCCCCCCTCCTCGCCGCACTGTGCCCCTTTCCCCCACAGGCGCGTGCGGCGTCGGTGGAGGCGGTGCAGGCGGCGCAGGAGGCGGAGGAGGCGAGTAAGCGCGCGTACGTGAAGCAGGCGCAGGCGCAGGAGAAGATGCAGGTGGCAGCGCAGGTGGCGGCGCAGCAGCAGCAGGCGGCGCGGCAGGCGGCGAGCATGGCGGCGAGCGAGGCAGCGCGCGCGGTGAGGGAGGACGAGCGGGCGGCGGGGCGGCAGCAGCAGGAGGAGTCGGCGGTACAGGGCATGATAGCGCAGCAGGCGGCGCACATGGCGGTGCAGCAGCAGGCCATGGTGACAGCCCCAGCAGCGGCGTCTTTCCCTGGCGGCGGTGTCCTGGCGGCCCCTGGGGCTGCCATGAGTGGAGCAGCAGGGGCGGTGCCATCGTTCCCAGCAGCCATTCAGGGCGAGCATGCGGGGGCGGCAGCGCAGGCGTTTGTGGCGCAGATGGCGAGTGAGGCGGCGGAGACCGCGGCGCAGAGCATGGCAGCGGCGCAACACATGGCGGCCGCTGCTCCCAATGATGCGGCCGTGCAGCAGGTGATGGCACTGGGGTCAGCCATGCGCCACATGTACCACTTTTGCCTTGTCGTGTGCTGCGGTGCGGAGAGCATGATATGTAGTTTCTGTGGGTGCATGTGTGTGTGTTTGAGTGAATCTATGTGTGTGTATATGTGTGTGTGTGTGTGTGTGTGCGCGCGCGCGCGCGCGCATGCGTGCGTGCGTGCGGGGGTGCGGGGGGGTGGGGGGGGGGAGGGGTGGGGGTGGGGGTGGGGGTGGGGGTGGGGGTGGGGGTGGGGGTGGGGGTGGGTGTGGGTGTTGGTGTGGGTGTTGGTGTGTGTGTGCATGGAGCAGGCAGCAGGGCAGCAGGCGGCGTTATCAGAGGAGCAGATGGCTCTGGCATGCCAACTGGCTGCTGCAAGCAACGACCCTGCCATGGCGTTGCACACTGCACAGGTCATTCACCAGTACCAGCTGCAAATGGAGCAGCAGCAGCAGCAGCAGCAGCAACAGGCTCAGGGCCAGCAGTAGTCTTGAGAGTACTGTTGGACTTCAATGCTTTGCATCTTTTGTGCATTGGCGAGTTTCAATGTGAAGCGCGTGGAAATGGTGGCGTTTTGGAGCAATAATGATTCTGTTGAGGCGATTCAGGCACATGGCTGAGTGCATGTATGGAATTAGAAGAATAGCAAGTGTTTCTAATAAAAGTTCTCCCACAATTCTTAATACTGTTGGGAAACCGTGTATGGGTTTGCCTCCAGCGGCTAGCATACGTGTGCCGAGTCCTCTATAACGAGTAGGATCTCTTGGTGTCTCCGATCTCTCCCAAGTCTGATCTTGTTCGCCATCGCCGCCACAGCGCACAGCATCGCGTCTGCCCCGCCTCGAATTCGACCACCCGTTGGCTTCTCGTGAGAGCCCTGTCGTCTCGCCGCTCCCGCCGGGCTGGGAGGCGAGAAGTGGAGAGGCCTGGGGAGGAGTGCGGGGTTGGCGTGGGAGGCGGGGTGGCGCGATGAAGAAGGCGCAGGAGAAGAAGGCGAAGCGCCACATCTACAGCACGGGCGCCGCTGGCTGCGGAGGCAAGGCCGCGCCCACCAACGCCAAGAACACCGGGCAGGTGCGATCGCAATTGAGCAAGGCACAAGGCTAATCTCTTCCCGCATGCGGCCTGACATTCAACTCACCCTTCTCACTTGCACTTACCCTCCGTTTCTCCTCTCTCCCACGCGTCCCCTTTTTGTCCCCCCCGCGTGTGGCGGCAGCCGCTGCCGTGTCCGTTGTGCGAGCGCGTGTTCAAGCAGGACGGCCGCCTCAAGGACCACATTAAGAGCCAGCACAGCCAAGCCGACGCTGACGCCGCCGCTGCCCCCGGAAATGCTGCCACGGACAGACCCAGCGGCGGGGAGACGACAGGCGGTGGTAGCGGGCAGGGTGCGGGGAGAGGGGGGGCCGTGGCGGGTGCAGGAGCAAGGGGAGGTGATGGTGGGGCCGGGGGGAATGGCGCAGGGGTAGGGGGAGGGGACGGGGAGAAGGGCGGGGGTGTGTATTACGTGAAGACGCCCAAGGTGCTGCTGAACGAGTGGTGCCAGAAGAACAAACGACCCACGCCCAAATACAAACACGTGAGCCCGCCTCGCATCCTCCCGTCTCCTTGCCTTCCCAACAATGCCTGCCCCCTCCCCCCCCCCACATTCCTCTCCCTTCCTTTCTCTCTCAACACCTACCTGCTCACAACCTCCCACCCACAGTCCCCCTTTTCCCCGCCTCCCCTCCCCCTCCCCCACGCCCGCCCTCCGCCGGCTGCCCCTGCAGGTGGAGGCGCCAGGCGGGGGCTTCCATGCGCGCGTGATCATGCCTGACGCGCGCGACCCCGCGCAGGACAGCATCCTGTGGTGGCGCGGCACCCCCGCCGCGCCGTCGTCGCTGGACGCGCACAACCGCGCCGCCACCATGGCGCTGCACCACGTCATGGGGTCCACGCGGTGGGGTACAGGGGGGGGGAGGGGGGAAGGGAGGGGAAGGAAGGGGAAGGAAGGGGAAGGAAGGGGAAGGGGGTTGTGGGGTGTTTGGGGAAGAAGTGGTGGTGGCCATGGGGCGGCCTAGGACAGGAGAGGGTGCATTGAGATGGGGGCATGTGGATGTGGGTTGCCTTGTAGATGCATGCACTGTCACAACCCTCACACACATGGCGTTTCTTGCCGCTGCGTGCTTGTTCTCACTCCCCCCTCGCCCACGCCTCCCTGGCTGCTACCCTCAATGTCAACTATGAGCTCTATACCAGCGAGCTGACGCCTGTACCCGTGCGCCGTGGCTGGTATGGCAGGCTGGACCGCGTGCTGGGAGAGGCGTTCCGGCAGCAGTGGAAGGAGCTGGACCGAGAGGCGGACGACAGGCGGGAGCGGGATAGGCGCCACGCGGAGGACAGGCAGAGGCGGGAGGAGCGCGAAAGAGCACAGCAGCAGCGGCAGCCGCAGCGAGCGAATGTGTTCTTGAGTGACGATAAGAGGCACCTCGTGCATGCTCTGCTGTCCACCACCCCACCACCACCACCTCTCTCTGCCCTGCCTGCGCCGTTTGCCCCCACTGCTGCTACCACTCCCCAAGGCGGTCTGCCCCACGGCACGGCACATGCAGCTGATGCGTCTGCACCGCCACAGGCAGCACCACAAGGGGCAGCAGCAGCAGGCAGTAGTGGCAGTGGCAGTGCGAGCAGCCACCAGGCAGTGGCGCATCAGCTGCTGGCAGCTGGCTTCCCGCTGGACTGGACACAGCAGGCCACCGCGCACTGCTCTGACTACGTGGCAGCGCGTGACTGGCTCATCCTGCACATGCCAGAGCACCTGCTCCCCGCACAGTTCGCCGCCTCCTCGTCCGCCGCTGCCGTGGCCGTGCTGCACGCCGCTGCCCCCTCCGCCCTGCCCTCGTCCTCCGCCCTGCACCTGGACCAGTGGCAGCCCAGCATCTCCCCCCCCCTGCGCTGGCTCATGGCGTGCGGCTACGACGGCCCCTCCGCCCTGCACGCGCTCTCCCTCACCGCCCATGGGGGCGCTGATGACCAGGTGGCGGCGCTGGCGTGGCTGCAGAAGCAATTCCCCGTGGACGTGCATGGCACAGAGGGCCCCGGGGGAGGGGAGGGCCAGGGGGATGGGGAGTGGGGAGGCGGGGAGCAGCAGGGGGAGGGGGAGGTGGAGGAGGCGAGGGAGGAGGAGCGCATGGTGCTGGAGGCCATCTATGGGCCGGACCTTACCGTGCGGCACGTGCAGGGGGCGCATGGCATGGCAGTAGTCATGTCGGTGCGGATCAAGCAGGAGGCGGGTGATGGCCATGATGGGGATGGCCAGGGCAGAGGGGAGGACAGCTCCCGCCCACGTGCTGCTGCGCTTCATCTCGAGGTGTGATGCAAAGCAATTGCGCGTTTTCGTTCCGTCTCCCTGTGTCCTCCACTCCACTGCTTCAGCGCTGCAAATCAATTCCCCCACCGTTTGTCCCTATGCTCTCCCCTCCCTCCTGGTCTTGTCCCATGTCTCCGCCCTGCCATGCACCTTCCCCCGCTCGTTCCCTCACTTCCCTCTCAGGTCATTATTCCCGTCACCAGCTCCTACCCCTTCTCCCTCCCCCTCCTCGCCTTCCGCCTCTCCTCCCCCACGCCCATCCCCCTTCCCCCCTCGCTGCCACTGTCTCTGCGTGTGTGGTCCGCCTCGGCCCTCCACTACGCGTGCCACAGCCTGCCCCCTGGCATGGGCGTGGTGCACTCCCTCGCCACGTGGGCCGCCGACCACGCCCTCCCCACCTTCCTCGCGCTGCTCGCCCCACGCCCTGCCTCGTCCGGCCCCTCGCCCCCATCCATGGCGCTCCCCCACCTCGCTGCCCTCTCCCTCGCCCCCTCCTCCTCCGCGTCCGCCTCGGCCCCCCTCCCAGCACCAGCAGTGCCAGCACCAGCACTCGCCACTGCTGCCAATCCCACTGCTGTTGCTGCTGCTGTTGTTGGCAGTGGTGGCAGCGAGGTGCGGGCAGCAGGGGACGATGCGTGGTGGCAGCAGGGCGCAGCGGGCGGCAAGGCAGGCAGGGGAGGGCGGCGGGCAATGGGAGACGGCGAGGCGAGGGAGGATTGGGAGCGTCTTAAGCGGCGGTGGGAGGAGATGCAGGGGAGCAGGCAGCACGCAGGCATGTTGCACACGCGAAGGGGCCTGCCTGTGGCGTCGTCGAGGGCGCAGGTGCTGGCAGCGCTGCAGCAGTCGTGGGTGGTGGTGGTCAGCGGCGCCACTGGCAGCGGCAAGAGCACGCAGGTCAGAGGGGTGTGGGACGGGGGTGATGAGAGAGGTAGGAGGGGGAAGGGGGGAGGTGGGGATACGGGAAGGAGGGTAGGGGAAATGAGGGGGAACAGGATGTGGAATTGGGCAGAAATGAAGGACCCGCCATGGGTTGTGCCTTCTAAGTTGCTACAGCATTCCCTGTTTCCCATGAGCCCCTCTGCTTCGCTGCACGCTCTTCCTCTCCTCCAGCGATCTCACCTCTCACCCCATCCATCACCCCTCATGGTCCCATCTCCCCCTGGTCCCCCGCCAGGTGCCCCAGTACATCCTGGAGGGCGCCCTGGAGCAGCCGGCCCCCACCTCGCCCTCTTCACCCGTGCCGTGCTGCTCCGTGGTGATCACGCAGCCGCGCAGGATATCAGCAGTGGGGCTCGCGCACAGGGTGGCACAGGAGAGGGCAGAGACCGTCGGCGACACTGTGAGCGCCGCCTTGCTGCTGTTCCCTCTTTCCATTCCTCCTCGTCTTCTCCTGCCCATGAGTGTGTCAAAAGGAGTGCACGATGTAGGGTAAATGAAGCAGCTTTTAAACAGCAACCAGCAGTAGAGCAAGCTAGACACACAGCAGCGTGCAAAGCAAGCTTGCCCGCTTGTCGGTTTGCAACAGGCGCCCTCCTTGCCATCCCCCGTAACACCCCCCCCCACCTGCCCGTGCGCGCTCATGCACGCCTGCGTGCCATCCCTCCCTTGCCCCCCCAGGTGGGGTACGCCATCCGCATGGAGGCGCGCCGCTCACTGCGCACACGCCTGCTGTTCTGCACCACGGGGCTGCTGCTGCGGCGCCTGCTGGGCGACCCCCTGCTGGCGGGCGTGTCGCACGTGGTGGTGGACGAGGTGCACGAGCGCTCCCTTGACAGCGACCTGCTGCTGCTGCTGCTCAGATTCGCTCTGCTGCAGAGGAACGTTGCACCGCAGCCACCCGGCCAGGAGAAATTACCACTGTACGTGCCTTGCCAAGCATCTATCTACTTGCTTTCATACTCCTCTCCTTGTGACCCGTCGGCTTACTCGGTCTCTTCCACAGACTCCCTTTCTTGAACCACTCAGCTTTTGTCTCTCCCTTTCCCATGGAACCCATACTCATCTTCCGGCTCCAAACCCACTGTCCTCCTCACTGCTGCCGCCCACCCCCCCTACCCCCCCATCTTGGCAGGCTGCGCATTGTGCTCATGTCCGCCACGGCCGACGCCCACTCCTTTGCCGACTACTTCCACCGCCTCCTCCTCTCCCACTCCCACCACTTCCCCCCCTCCCTCCTCTCGCCTCTCCAGCCCACCTCCTCCACCCCCTCCCCGCCCCTCTCTTCGCTCCTCGCCTCCCGCCTGCCGCGCCCAGCGCTGATCTCTGTGCCGGGGCGCACGCACCCGGTGCGGCAGCTGTTCCTGGAAGACGCGCTGGCGCTCACCAACACCGCCATTGGTCGCAACTCCAAGTACGCACGCAAGGGCGGCAGCAAGGGGGGCGTGGGGGGTACGGCGAGTGGGCAGGGCATGGGGAAGGAGGCTGGGCGGGGAGTGGACGGGGGTGAGGGTGGAGAGGGGGAGAAGGCGCGGGATATGGACGGGGGTCAGGACGAGGAGGAGGAGGCAGGAGGGTGGGAGGCACTGGCAGACGATGCAAGTGATGGGATCGGTAGCAGCAATGGCAGCACCAGTAAACTGCTCAGTGCCAGCACTCTTGGAATAGCACAGCAGAGCGTGGGAGCGCGTGGTGAGCCAGCGGGTGGGGGGGGAGGGGGGGCAGGAGGGGATGGGCGATACAGTGAGGCGGTGCTGCGGTCACTGGCAGTGGTGGATGAGAGTGTGATCAACTACGAGCTGGTGGAGGCGCTCATTGCTGCCATCATGCGCGCCAACACCCCACAAGGTCACCACCACCACCAGCAACTTCTGCCCGCGCCGTCAGCAGCCTCCAGTGACAGCAGCAGCACCTTCAGCTGCGATAGCAGCAGCAGCAGTGGCAGCAGCAGTGTGAGCTCGTTGTTGCTGGTGCCTGAGCCAGCAGAGGGCGGGGCGGGGGCATCAGCGGGGGCGGTGAAGGCGCGGGGCGTCCTGGTGTTCCTTCCTGGCATGGCGGAGATCAAGCACATGCAGCGCCACCTGGAGGGCAGCCGCCTGCTGCAGCAGGCGGTGGGGGGAGGGGGGGCGCGAGGGCGCGGTGGCATGGTGGTGGTGCCGCTGCATGGGTCGCTGGCACAGAAGGAGCAGCAGCGCGTGTTTGCACCGGTGCCTGAGGGCACTTGGAAGGTGGTGCTGTCCACCAACGTGGCTGAGACCAGCGTCACCATCGACGACGTCGTGTGAGTACTGCGCTCTTGTTGCCATGTCAGCGCTCTACCACAGTGGCTCTATGCACTGCCCCTCAGCATCACGACCGCAACTTCTTACCATCACCCTGGTCCCCCCCCTCCTGAGCCTCTCGTCTTCCCCTGGCTCCTGCACAGCCCTCACCTCCACCCCCATTCCCCAGCCCATGCCAACTCCCCCTCCTCCCCCCCCTGGCCAACGTGCAGGTGGGTGGTGGACAGTGGGCGGCAGCGGGAGGTGGTGCATGACGTGGTGCGCGGCATGGACGTCATGGGCGACGCATGGGTGTCGCACGCAGCAGCAGCGCAGCGCGCCGGCAGAGCAGGCCGCGTGCAGCCGGGGTGCTGCATCCGCCTGTACTCGCGCTCCCTCTTCCACTCCCTGCCGCCGCACACGCCCCCAGAGATGCTCCGTGTCTCACTCGATTCGCTCTGCCTGCAGGTGACATGGGCTGTTGAGAATGGTGGAGGTGATTACCATGCTGACACTGGTGCCAGTGCTCATGTTGATGGTGATGGTGATGGTGATGGTGATGGTGATGGTGATGGTGATGGTGATGGTGATGGTGATGGTGATGGTGATGGTGATGGTGATGGTGATGGTGATGGTGATGGTGATGGTGATGGTGATGGCTGACGTTATGGTTATGCTGGTGATGCTGCAATCTATGCACTCACATTGGATGCACCTCTGATGCACACCATGCCACATGCACTTTGCCCACTACATGTCGCATACAGCATGCAGCGATGTGCACACCGCTGTGACATGCGCTGCCATGCCATGCATCTGAGCCTGTCTGCCCCCACCGTCTGCTCTGCTCCACCCACCAGGTGAAGGCCATGCTGCCAACTATGCCAGTGGCTCAGTGCCTCTCCCTCGCCCTCACGCCGCCCCCTCCCTCCGCCATCTCCTCCTCGCTCTCGTCCCTCGTGTCCCTGTCCGCGCTGCACATGCCGTCGGAGGCCTTGTCCCCCCTCGGAGCGCACCTGGCGCGCCTGCCTTTGGACGTGCACGTGGGCAAGATGCTGCTCTTCTCCGTGCTGCTGCGCTGCCTCGATCCCGCCCTCTCCATCGCTGCAGCAGCCGCGCACGCTCGCCCGCTCTTCCTCGCCTCGCCTGTGCACAGGGACGTGTCCTCGCAGGCCAAGGCACGGTTTGCCGGTGCCACTCGCAGCGACCATGTCGCCGTGGCAGTGGCGTACCAGGGATGGGCAGACGCCAGGGGTGGAGGGAGGGGTGGAGAATGGGCGTACTGTGAGGCGAATGGGTTGTCACGTGACACCCTGGTGGCCATGGAGGGGCTCAGGCGAGACTTTGTGCTGTCGCTGGCGTCGCTAGGCTTCCTGCCTGCAAGCTATGTGTCTGCGTGGATGGACAAGGACAAGGGCACGAGGCACGCGCATGTGGAGGGCGCAGGAGGCAGGGGTGGGGAGGGACAGCGATGGAATGTGTTCAACGAGAATTCGCAGTCATGGCGTGTGGTGAAAGGTGTCATCTGTGCTGGCTTCTACCCCAACGTGGTGCGCGTGCAGAGGCCGGAGAAGCGGTTTGTGAAGACAGAGCATGGGGCAGTGGAGCGGGATGCGGCGGCACGGGCAGTGCGCTTCTACACCCGAGCAGATGGCCGGGTGTTCTTGCATCCAGGCAGTGTGAACTTCTCTCAGGGCACGTTTGAAAGCCCGTGGCTGGTGTTCAGTGAGAAGATTCAGACGAGCAAGATCTTCATTCGAGAGTGCTCCATGGCTCCAGCCTTTGCCTTGCTGTTGCTGGGTGGGCTGCTCAACGTCAATGCAGAGAGGCGGCTCGTGGCTGTGGACAACTGGATTCAATTCGAGGCACCTGGCCGAATTGGAATACTGGTGCGAGAGATGCGCAGTAGAGTTGATGAGGTGTTGAGGGATAAGATGGCTAGACCAGACATGGATCTTGGCAGTCATCCTGTGCTGGAGGGCATGGCTGAACTACTATCTTCAGAGGGGTTCTGAAGTTAGCAAGTATATGGAGGTAGGGGTGTATACAAATAAATACCTGTTCTATTTCTAAACAATTTCAGGTTCATACCAGTGCTTATTTCGTTAGCACCAACTAATCAGTGCTTAGAGCTTTCCTTGTGTCATCTTATACATATATTGTTATGTAGAGATAATAGGCAAGATAGGGTGTGTTCTTAGTGAGTTCAACCCAAATGCCAGATCTCCCCTGTTCTCCCTTCTTCTATTCATTCGTTCTAGTTTCACACCTTGTACCGCCACGACAGTAGATGAATGAGCTATTTGCTCTGTGAATGCCCCTGTACAGGAATGGGCTAGAGGTCCTGCTTCTTTCCCCAAATATGTACACCTGCTTCATCAGCAATAGATGCTGAACAGTCAGGAGAAGCACGCTTCCTGCCAACAATTGACGCATCTTCAGTGCTTGGGGTCTCTGAATCTGTTGACTCGCAGTCTCCAGCAGCCCGGGAATCCTGTACATGTAAGCTGAGGGCTTCATCAATGACGGACGATGCTGGGGATGAAGTGCGAGGATCACTTGAAACAACTGCTACCGGCACAACAGGACGAAATCCTGAAGTTTTCGAGAAAGTAGCAACTCGATGTCGCATGTCTGCCAGTGCTGCCTCTAGAACCTGCTCGCGCACAGCCTTGGCATCACTTTCAGAAGGACTCCCAGATTTCACTTCAACAGAAGAGGTGCTGATCATGGGGGCCAGGGAGATAAAGCTGGAACTTGAGGGTGCATAGGGATGGGGGGGTGAGTTGCCTGGCCCTGGATGGCTGCTACTGCCACCTTGAGCATCGAAGACGGGGACAGGAGGGCGGGGGTACCAGAGACTCGTAGAACCGTGCGCCGAATGCGCCAGTGGTTGCTGCACAGTGAAACGAATGCGAGTCGATTAGGGTCGATACAGAATTGCACAGCAAGAAACAGTATTCGTAAGTACTTACGCTTGCCTGCTGCAGAAGCGATATCGCATCATAGTAGAGGCGCTGCATGCGCTTGAGCTCGCTCGAGAGAAGTGCGTTTTCAGACTGAAGACGCTCGATTTCATCAGCGGCACAGACGTCCTTCATAGGCTCAGGCGCTTTCGACGGACCCTGAAAATGACCGAGAAACCGCATGTCATTTTGGAAACAGGAGCGAGGAAGAACAAGCATCCCAAAGGATGGTGCATATGGATGGCAATGTTTTGGCTACCAAAAAGCGAAAAAATACACCCGTGACGTCATAAGACCATCAGCATGCCTCAAAATGCCCCCCAACGTAACAGAAATGTAGAGCACTACCCACAGGTTGCGGTATATGGCTGCTGATAGTTGGTACAAACGCCTTCCGGCGCTGAATCTCACAAAGCAGCCGAAACTCGCCCTTCTTAAAATAATCGTTTCCGAACTCCCATCTCGTTGGTGCAACCTTCCGAAAGCCCTGTCGGAAGAAAACAGGGAAGTAAAGAGGTCTAAGTCAGCAATGGAGGAATAACGGTCTTAGCGAGAAACTCAGAATGCACGCGTACATAAGTGTTCAACTGGCGAACGAAGCTTGAGAAGTTGTTGTGCTTGAAATAGTTAGGGAGCAGGTCTCGTGCAAATTCCATCGGCTTCCACACAACAAAAGTGACCAGCTCCGAGCCCCAGCTGACGACTTCATCAGTAGAAGAGTCGTCGACCAGCTGATAGGTCTTCGTGAGGAATGGCGGTGGAACCGGCCGATGGCAGTCCTGGAGAGAGGATGATCGAGTTCCTTGCTGGACCATTTTTCATGTGTTCCTTCACAGCTCACACCCTGCGAGAGACATATGCCGTGCGCCTGAGGAAGTGTCCACAAACATGCTGAAAACGGCGAAAACGATTTGAAACTGAAACTCGCTCACGGACGTCGTCCTTGGGATAATCGTGAGTACCTCAGACGGTGAGGGAAGTCAGCACCATCTGGTGGACAGTTGCAGTAAAACACTGGGGCGAGAGGGCAGCTGACAGCAGAATTGCTTTGCCCGAGCTCCCGTCAACACATTTTTCCTCGCCGGAAACTATCAGCTGCTGTCTCCACAATAACCCCCTCATGTTGGGCGAGAGAGCTCACTACTGTATTGACAACCTGCGCGCCAACTTCCAAACCTGCCTCCCACGCCGAGCCTGATCGGGGCAGGACATCCGCGTCACCACCGCGTCACTTTGTGCCACCGCTCGATCCAGATACTGTCTGGTCGCCAGTTTTTGCTTCGGACTGGCCATAGAAGAGCGCAACCATCCATTCAACTGGGAGCACGTAGCCATCCATCATCGGCGAGCCACTCGCCAACCTCCTCTGTACACCTCATCAGATATTTCCGAAGCGTAAACTGCCAGCGTGGTTTGGTTGGGTAAATGCACGGCGCGGATCTGGGCGAATCTCGCTGTGAGCTTTTCTCAGACACACCCAATCTCCCGTAACGGTGTCTACAGCATCCCTCACTCCTTGTCGGGTAGGACTCGCGCATACATGGCTAATGTAAAATAAGAACATAAAATGACGAGCTGAATGCTTGCATATTATACCAAGATTCCTCGAATAGATTGAAATTTGAAAAGCGACTCTAGACAATTCTGACACCCCTCACGTTCTCCGACTCCCAATTGTTGGAAATATCTCAAAGGACTTAAGCGTTTCTGAAGTGTAACACTACACTCGAGGAAGATTACAGGGGGGGGTACGCGAGTCAACGGAGGATACACGAGGGGGCAGACAAAGAACGCGAAGGAACTCGAAAGGTCGCAACTGGAGGTTGCGACTGACAGTTACAACATCGCGGATGGTAACCGAAGCGGCAATCGAGTCGCCTGTGCGACTCGATAACCGCTCCTGCAACTATATTCTACAAACTGCTTTCTTATTTCCTATATATTGCTGTATGCTTGTTTCTTTAATAATCACTTGTTCTCATATACTAGTACAAGGGTTCAACTGCCTCAACTTCCGCTGCACTACTCAAGTCTCACTTTACAACTGGGACTTAGTCTCTGGAAAGATCCTAAGGACTTTTATCAGCCCAACACCAATCAAGTGCACACACCCTGTTCCTGGGATAGTCTTCCCAGAATGCTGGTCCTGGGTCATAACCACTTGGTACTCTTGGCAACTTTTGAAACACACAAGGCTAGCAGCAAACAGGGAAGATTGCTAACGCATGAGCATATGACTGTGTTGGGCCTGCAGCCCATTCATGCGGGGCCCCACACGGCCCAGCTCTGGTATGCAGGGTGCACCCGATGTGGCTCTTGTTTGGCCTGTTCGCTGCCAACTACAGCCACTATTCTGGTGGAGCCTTGGCCCGCAGATTAATCTTGATCCGCCTTCCCTTCTCAGCCACGCCCTCTTCTGAACTCCGTTTCTTGCGGTAAGCAGAAAATGCAACGGGCCGTGCTTGCATATTGGCTGAGTGTGTTTCAGCCACCGCAGCTAACTGACTGCTTCCAGCTTCTGCTGGGCTATCTTCTACTCCACGTGCAGGGTCCTCGGTGCACTCCCTCTCAATCCCTGCCAACCGTCCTAACCCCATGACATCACCACCCACATTGCCACCCCCTGCCGTGCTTCCGCACCGAGCATGTGCAGTGTCAACAGTGCTTGAACTTGGTGGGGGGCAGATGGGCATAGGAGGGCGGGAGCGAGCCAGCTGCATCCAGTCAGGCGTGGAGGAATGAGAGGCGGAGGAGGCGATCCAGTCTGGACATCCCACATCGCCTGCCGACTGCTGCTCCCTCGCTTGCCTGCCATGCTTCGTCTGCACCTGGCCCTCACCACGCCCCTCCTCCTGCTCGTCATTCTCCACCTCCCTGTGTGCCTCCTCGGCCTCCCCATGCGCCTGCTGCTTCTGCACCATGCCTGGGGTTGGAGGAAGAGGGGATTCGCGGCAGGCACGAGAGAGGCAGTATGAAGCATTGCGGATCAGCCTGGACATCACTAGCAAGCACTATGTGGAAAAGGGCTAAGCGGCGGTTAACAGCCCCTGGCTTACCTGAGAGGAAGGAGAGGATGTGCATGTCTGCTGCGGCGTGCAGGGCCGTCTGGCCACGGTTATTGGTGATGTCCAGTGCACAGCCTGATGCCACGATGCAGGCAAGTTTGAAGCACACCACAATCACTGGCGGATCCAGAAAATCAAGCATATGAGAAAGGAAGAGAGAAAGCACACAGAGATGAGGCGACACATGGTGGCGAAACACGTACCTGCAGCAACCAGCAGCTGAACCACCAGGCTTCTGCCTGCCTTGGCCGCCCAGTGCAGGGGAGTGTCGCCAGACTGCGACAAACAAAGGGGGTCGAACCAGAGGGCACGTAAGATAGAAAAAAAAAAAAAAAAAAAAAAAAAAAAAAGGTAAATAAAATAAAATTTATTAAAAACAAAAAAACAAAAAAAAACAACAACAACAACGACGAAGAAAACTCCTCGAAAACCCAGAATACCATGCCGGGGGAATAGTTTGGTGTGGGGGGGGAGGGGGGGGGGGGGGGGGGGGGGGGTGTGGTTGAGGGGGGGGCTAGTCGAGGGTTGGAATGGGGGGAAGGGAATACATGGAGAGCATTGCATGGTCTCACGTGCGTTTGGATGTTGATCTGCGCGCCGTGCTTCAGCAGGAGCTCGGCTGTGCGCACCCATCCGCGATCCGCGCACCAATGCAATGGCGACCTGCGCGGCCCAGACGAAATTATGGCCGGAAGCAGCACAACACGAATTATGAACCAATCTGCAGACGCAAGGGTTACTAGTACGGCCTGAACGACCACCTGATTTTCGCCGGTCTAGGGACGGTGCGTGGCTTCGCATCCTGTGCAACAGGATGTGGAGCAGCGGTGGTATTACAGTTGCGGACACGCTTCCCCAAGCCACACCTTGGCTTCTGGGCCCGACAGGGCGGAGGCTGAGCGGAATTCAGCTACCAGTGCGACGGGCGCTTGTGATCCGCGGCGAGCTTTGGGATTCGGGGGTCGTCCAAGGGACCGCGTCAAAGAAAAAGCGGCCGAAATCCTTCATATGCTAGCGGCCCGAGTTTTGCGAAGGGCGCAGGGGTTCGGAAGGGGATTTTGTGCAGGGCTGCGAAAACGCACGTCCTGCTCCCATTAGCACACCCGCGTGCCAAGACTCGGAAAAAAAACCCCGGCGCCAACGGGAGAGCTCATTCTAGTACTAGAACGATTCCCTCTATTGCTACGCGTCCAGACCCCGCGGATCGCCCGCGTCACCGTGACGTGGCGGCGATTCACCTGCCCAGGTGGTCCTTGCGGTTGGCGTCAGCGCCCGCCTCCAGCAGCAGCGCCGCCGCCTCGCTGCTCCCGGACTCCATGCACGTCAGGCTCAGTGCCGACCGCCCAAATCCCTCCGGCAAGTTCGGATCCGCGCCCGCCGTCAGGAGCGCGCGGATGTGCGCAATGTCCGCGGGGGACAGCGGCTTCCGCCGGCACACGAGGTGCAACGGCGCGCGGCCAGGGCCGTCGCGCGCGTTCGGATCGCCCCCTGGCTGCCATAACGGAGGCGGTGCCGAGGGAAGCATCATCGGCGCGCTGTGACACAGTTGACTGACATGCTGATGCGCGGAATCGGCGGGCTGCTGTCAGCAATGCCGAGGTTTGAGTGAAAGCGAGAGTGAGCGAGGCTACTCTGGAAGGCGGCATGGTGGTGTGGTAGGTGAAATGGTCCGAGATTCTGGATCAAGACATCTCCATGCCGCGACGCGAGATGCGATCAAGGAACGAGGCGGGAATGAATCTGTCGGCGCCGCAAAGTGGCGAAGGCCAGTGGCGATTATCCGAGGTTGATGTTTCGTGGCCATGTGGTGTGCTGACTGGTGCTTGAGCAATTCAAACGGGATACAAACGCGAAATGTGGACAAGACTACATGTGGACGGGAAAAAAAGTATTCGTTCACAAGACTACTGCATAAAGGTTATGTTTTTTGTGGTAGACCGCCTCTCCACTGGAGTGACTGCAGTGCGTGTGGCTAGAATTGAAGGGGGAGTACAGTAGAGTACTCCTGAACCTACCCAAGCAGACTCTAACGCCGCGCCAGGTGTACAGTACTTGATTGGAGAGATGCTGGGCGCCACCTAACCGTTAGGTGGCGTAGCAAGGAAATCGCCGCAACCAGCGCGACACAGGAGAGCCAATCGTTGGAGGGCTCAACATCAGCACAGCGTCAGCGAGAGGACGGGAGGGAAGGGGAGGAGGGAGAGGAGGGGCGGTTCGGTAGGAGAGGAGATTGGAAGGAAATGCAATCTCAACTGTATGGGGGCCATTCGTGCGGTCGGGTACTATGTGCATACAGTTCGGTTCTGTACGTTCTGTACAAGCAAAGCAAGGCATCCGACTTGTTCAGGCAACGGTGCTTCTCAGGTCCCCTTCATGTCTGACGGGGCGTGTCCTAAGCGTTCGTTTTCAGGCAGTACCCTACCGAACCGTTAAAAATAGTATTCGATCCTTCGGAAATGCAATCAACCTTAATTGACCTCATTCGGACGAATACTTCGGAAACGCCCCAAATGTGGAGGGAAAATAATAAAATTACTACAATCGCATAATGAGCGGGCAGGATAAACGCTTTCGTCTGGAACCGAATTACTGTAAGCCACGCCTGTCTTCTGGGCTGGGCTGAGCATGATGCAACAGTGTGTTCAACCAGAGTGGGCGGCTTGGGAGATGTTTTGTCGGTTCTGCTACTGGTGTTCGTTCACGTGACATGCCATGCCAGCAGCATGTGCACTGCATCCATGTCCGCCTAATTTGCTGCTCAGTGGGCAATTGGATCTTTTTGGCCTTGCTCTCAGAACGTGAACAAAACTCCATTCACGCCGTAGCGTCCTAGCGTACCCCTTTGCTCCCACACCCTACTTAACCGTTCCAGAATCTTATTTGATCCTTCTGACTCAAAAAGCATCTCACTCTACCGCAATCGGACGTGCGCCCACAGCTTTAGTTCTGTACAGCACCGTCGTGTGACTGTACAGCTCGTGACTGTCATAGTCATTACATGGGGCTCGAAGACCATGTGCTGTTGTTGGAGATGCCATTTAGTATATTTGTTATTTCTGTAAACAATGCACAAATCATAACGAGTCATGGTATAAATGTGATTCTGAGTGTAGACGCGGCCACGTGTTCGGCGTTCCAAGCTCATGGGAACATCACCATCTCGGCGTGTCCCATTCCCCAAGTTCAGGCCCGCCAGTCGTGCGTGCCTAGGTGGCGAACTGTATGTGGTTGTGCCCTTGTGGCGTTTCGGGCTGTCTTGACCGCCGATCTTCATCTGGTTCTCGTTTCGTCTCCTCCACAAGCATGGTTTCTCTGCAACTGCGGTTCTTCATTTCGTCACCTACACGCCACACACAGCATTCGGTCGTCAAGTGCGGCAAGGGTTGGTAGCATAACTTGCTGGCTTATCAACACATCTACCAGGCAGTTTCTTGAACATAATTCCACTGCGCCTTCCCAGCACAACACGTTCTCCAGATATCCGTCTCGCGGCTTGAAGTCTGTTCACATGGCGTCCCAGGATCTCCCCCAAGGAGCTCCGAAGCTAACAATCTGCGTGGGCGACATTCACGGGCACTACGTGCGACTAGTGAATCTCTGGGAGCGGTTGGAAGCCAAGGCGGGCGACGACTTCGCGACGTGCACCGTGATTTTCCTCGGCGACTTCAACGACCGCGGGCCGCGCACCAAGGACGTCATCGAGTGGCTCGTCAACCTGCCGCAGCGGTACCCGCAGCAGAAGCACGTGTTCCTCGCCGGCAACCACGACTTCTCCTTCGCCTCCTTCATCGGCGCGCTGCCCCGCTTCCAGCCGCCGTCGGGCTTCAAGTTCTCCGAGACGTGGCGCGGCGCGGAGAAGGACGAGGAGCGCGAGGGATGGTGGAAGGGCGACGACATGGAGAACGTGCATCTGCAGGTGCGGCCGCAGCCGGCCCTGGGGAAAATATTGCCTCTTGCCGCGTGCAGGCGCCCGTAATTCCCCTGTTAACATTGTGACAGTCCTTAATTCTGCATGCTGGAGCATTCACAGCCTGATCCTAGTTCACAATTTACCCTGCGCTCACACTTGGTTCAATTCTGGTGTTTTCCCCTCCACGGCGTGGGTGCGCGCGTGCAGGGTCGGCGGTGGGCGGGGAAGATCAAGGAGCGCATCAGCAAGAAGGGGCGGCCGTACGACGAGTCCACGTACGACGCCGGCGCCACCTTCCGCTCGTACGGCGCCGAGTTCGGGAACCGGGAAGCACTCGTCGCTGCAGTGCCCGAGTCGCACAAGGAGTTCCTACGCAACCTGTCGTGGATATACGAGCAGGTAAGCGGCTCATTCGCCAGTGGCATGACATGAACCTTACACGTTGCGTCGTGTTTCCACAACATTTCTCCGTTCCGCATGCGCTACGCCCGCTCATAATCACTCCGTCCTCCTCGTCTCGCGCCCATGTTCTCCCCGGCCCGTCCCTACCACGGCAGCCCGGCGTGGACACGGGCGACGCGGCGACGAGCTACAGCCGGTTGATCGCAGTGCACGCGGGGTTCGACAAGGACCGGCCGCTGGGCGAGCAGATCGAGGAGCTCCGGCAGCGGCAGCCCGTCGCCAGCAGATACGAGGCGCTCAGCGGCCGCAAGAACGTGTGGGACAACCCCGAGGTGAGCACCAGGGGGATTGTGGAGGGAAGACTGTGGAGGGTGCAGTGAGGCTATGAGGACTAAGGCTGTGCCTCGTGGCAGGGGTCGCTGGCAGTTATACATTTGTCCTTCGCTGTAAACCTATCTCCCTTCTTGCCCCTGCCGTCCCGCTTATGGCACTGACAGGAGTTGGAGAAGGACAATGTGCTGGTGGTGAGTGGACACCATGGCGTGCTGGACACATCCCGGCGCCTGCGGCTGATCATAGACGAGGCGGGGGGGCTGGACGCACCCATTGCTGCCATGTTGCTACCATCCAGGGAGATCATCCGAGACACCGACCCTCTGTTCGCCTCCTCTAGCGCTCTCACAGAGGCCGCCGAGGTGTCAGAGGCAGCAGCTCTGGCACAGGAGGAGTCAGCACGTGAAGTGGAGCTTGTGGCTGCATAGAAAGGTTGAATGGATGAAGACAGAATACTAGGGAAGTATTCTAACCTGCTCCAAGCTATAGATAGACCACTGAATATTGTTCATATATTTATATATTTTACTATATCAGGAAGATCTTCCTTTCTGATAGTACATTGAGTTGTCCACTCCACACCTTTTGCAGCAGGATCATCTGCGGGCTTGGACATTCAGTGCACCCTACCTTAAACATAGACATTCGAAATACAGCATGAGTGTATGGATTCATGGAAACAAAAACTTACTATGGTATGCCAAACCAAAAATTGATACAAGCAGACTCCGACAACTCAGCAGAACAGGAGGTGCCAATTGCCTTGGTTACATTGACAACTCGGTACTAAAAAATGAGCTTGCCTGGCCCACTCTGCCCTTCACAAGACGTTCAGTAAAGCACCTGCAATGCCATGCACAGCAACATGGGGGAAACAGGGAGGGGTGATTGATTCATCCAGGACGCAACCATGCCATGCTACTCTCGAGTCATGTATTGAGGCAATCGCGTACCTCACTCCAGAGGCTCCTGCATTGCAGTGGCGCCATGGGGAACAATCACTCTCGACGATCCACCCGTGTCGCAGGAGCTATCCCACATGAGGTTGTCTCTCAGCGGGTCAGAGAACATATCCACAGAACGAGCAACAATCAGCCGCCCATTCAGCACACCCTCCCCCAGTGTATATCTAGATCCTACATCTGATGCTCCTGGTGCGCAAGTTGCCACTACTGCGCCAGCTGATGTCCCACCAGGTGATGCACCTATTGGCCTTCTAGAACCAATAATAGCAGCAATTCCTCCTTTCCCAGAAACTGGCGTGGCAGCAGCAGCTGCTGCCGATGAAGCTGCAGGCCGTGCTGCTGCTGCAGCAGCTAGCTTCTGCCATGTGTTGGGCCCATGGGATGATGGACTCGCGACAACAGGGGATGACGATGACGGTGGGTTGATGCGGGGGAGCGGAGTAGGATAGGCGGATGTGGAAGGGTGATTGTTGCGGGAGGTGGCGAAAGTGGGGTAAAAAGGAGGCGGGGAGGGAGTGGTGGCGGCAGTGGGAGGGGACGCGGAGAGGAGGGAGGAACCCGAAAAGAAGTTGGGGGAGAGGGCAAATTGTGATGGGTCACGGGCAACTGCGACACGGGAGGAGAGAGGGGAGCACAGTGGAGAGGCAGAAATGAATGTGCAAGGAGCAAAGTTGCCAACAGCCAGCACTGGGGGCTCCTGACGAAGAGGCTGAGGAGGGAAAGTGAGAAGGACAGAGGGGCATTAGAAACTGGTTCAGTGCGGTGCACGTGACAAACCTTGGTTCTTATGGCGAGGTTGCTGTGGCACTTTCACATGGCCACACACAGCAGCAAACGACCCGTCGTCGTCGTCCTCATCGTTCGCTTCTGCTAATTTACCTGGTACCACTCCTATGCCTGCACCCACTGCAGGTGCACCTGTCCCTCTCGCCTGCTGCTGCTGCTGCTGCTGCTGCTCCACTGGAATCACAGCTGTCTTCCCTGCTGCCATACCGGTTGACCGTGCGGCAGCTGGGAACGGACCAGCAGGGGCAGACGCACAAGGGGCAGAAGCAGCAGCAGCAGCAGGAACCCTTTGACCCTTGTGCCCAGCTCCCATGCCTGCAGCCGCTGCTTCTGCTCCCAGTGGTGGTTTCTTTCCTCCCTGAAACCCAGACTTCCCTCCCCCAATGCCCACCTCTCCGCCAACCCTTCTGCCTGGCACATCAACTGCCATCACTCCAGAGCCCATGCTGCTGCCTGCAGCATGTCCCGTGGCAGTGGCAGTGGCGGCAGTGCATCTGTTGAGAGCAGGGCGAGCATCAGGTGGAGCAGATGACACAGCTGACATGGCAGGAGAGGGAAGTGAAGTGACTGCACACGGTAGAACAAGGGGTAGGGCGGACGGGAGGGAAGGGGGAAAGAATACCATTAGTGTAGGCATGACAACGCACATTGACGTCGCACACCTGATACCGGTATCAAAATGAATTACAAACTTTCCATTGGTATTTCTTGTGACACCTGATGCCTGAGATAATGCGACCCACCTTGGCCTCCTGTTTCCCCGCCAGCTCCACTGGCAGTGACAGGAGCAGCACTGGCAGCACCAGTGGGCGCAGCAGCAGCTTGGGCAGTACCAGCCGCAGCGGCAAGAGCAGCAGCAGTAGGAGCAGCAGTGCTGCCACGCCCACTGATTGCAACAGGAACAGGAGTAGTTGCCCTCATGCCGGGCCCACTTGCCATGTAACCATGGGCAGGGGCGACACGAGGCTTCGAGCTGTTCGAAGGGACAGCTGAAAGGATAGGCGAAGCAGGGAGGGTAGCGGTGGCGCGTGTGTCGGGTGAAGCCGCGTTGGTGGGCGCAGACGCCACAGCGGCAGTAACAGGTGCAGGAGGAACCGTGGACGGAGCAGGAAAAGCAGTAGCAGACGCAGCAGCAGCATCAGTCGCCATTGGAGCAACCAATGTAGCAGCAGCAGCAGCTGCAGCAACAGCATGTGGTGGTACTGGCGGGTGAGGGATGGTAGCGGTGGAGGCATGCGCCTGGCTCCAGCGTTGCCACCAGCCAGAGGCAGAGAGGTCAAGGCACGAGGTGGAGGTGAGGGAGGCGAAGAGCTGCGCCGTGTCTGCTGGCAGGGCGTCGGAGTCGAACATGCCCTGGGCCAGCAGCTTCTGGAAGTTCCGCACGGCCCCGAGGAACGCCTTGCTGCGAAACATGCTCTCCACACTGGTGGGGGGGGGACCGGAGGGAACATGAGAGGTGGGGGAAAGAGCACCGACAACGTGCGGATGAGTGTTTTGAAACAGCTCATGACATGTGCGAAATTTCACGTGGGCGGCCATGACAGAACGGCATTTCTGGAATTCATGCTCACGCCAGGCCGTGTCCTCTGATACCTTCACAACGCTGCAGTGTGCCCCTGCTGCAATCACCTGGCGGAGCCATTGGCGGTGTCGACAGTGGGCAGCATGGCAACGAGCTGGCACTTGTGCGCATGGTCCATGCGGCGGTAGAGACTGGACGCATTCACTATGTCCTGCCACGCGCGTAGAGACAAATGGCCAAGAGCCGAGTGCAGGAGGAACAAAAGGCGCGGAGTACGGGTGAGGGAAAGTGCAAAGCAGGGGATGTGATTGAGAATTTGGCAAAAAAGGAGAAGACAACGTGAGCGGGTGGAGAAGTGTCGTACAGTAAGGTTCACGGAGCAGAGGCGCGAGTGTGGCGAGTGGAGGAGGAAATCGTCCGTCATGGCACCAGCAACCCTGTGTAAGAAAGGCAAGGGAGAGAGACATTTGGACAAATGCACGAGACAAGGATGCGAAACAGAGGGACATCGCGCGGATTTTATTTCAAGACTCAAACCACTTGCGCCTTGTAATGGGTGGCACATTAAGGGTACAAGGCGGATGGCAGAGAAAGCGACCTTGGAAAGGACATCCAACATAGTGACTTACTCTGCTGAGCTTGCTATCGCCGCATGGCCTGTTCCTCCACCACCCATCCCAGTACCTTGCTGCCTCGCCCCCGTCATCCCACTCTTCCCCACAGCCCCCTCTCCTACCCCTGCCCTTGGCATCCCTCCCATCCTCCCCCCACCCCCCCTTATGCTGCCATCGCTGGCTACTCGCTGCATGCCCACTCGATCAGCCCTTGCCCCCCCCACTGCCTGCTCTCGTCTGCCCTTTCCCACTACCGCTCCAGCACCAGCAGCACCAGTGGCAGCAGAGGGGGCAGTGGCTGTGCGATAGTGAGGGGACGGCATGGTGAGAAGCACAAGCTCCCGCTGACCGCTGGGTACATGCTGCAGTAACTCCAACCGCACATCCTCATCGCCTTCCTCCTCCTCTTCCTCCCCCTCCTCCCCTGTCTTCTCCTCGTCGTCGTCAACCGCTACTACACCTTCCTCCCCTCCCCCAAGCTCATCGTCGCCCCCTTCTTCGACCCATACCTCCTCCTCCCTCATCGCTTTCTCCCCCCCTCCTCCTCTCCCCGCACCCATCTTCCTGCCAGATTCATTGTGGCGTGCCCTTCTATCAACACGACAATCCTCCTCTCCCTCATTCCACTGCCCTCCCACATCCAGGTCCATATCTCCCTCTCTCTTCGCCCCCTTCCCCCCACGTGCGCGCACGCCATTTTCCCGCCACGTGCCCTCCTTTCCCCCACCGCCACCCGCACAGTGTCTCAGTCTCAGCGCGGTAAGGTCCGCCTCTGACTGGCTGCGCGGCCGCATGCCACTGCTGGACCCCGCGCCATACGGGGATGCAGAGCGCTGCCCCCCTCCGCCCAGAGACCTGCGCTTGGGGGGGATTGGCACGCCTGGGACAAGGTGGGTTGCAGGGGGTGGGGGGAAAAGGAGGGGCGGGGGAGTGGGAACATTGGTGAGCCAGGGGAACAGAACGGCGAGGCAGCACCTTTGACATAGAGGCTTCACACCATTCAAAAGCTATACGGGTGCAATCCATCTCTTGCCATTCAATGCGTAAACTGTCAAGGCCACGCACGTGTACCCCATCGCCAACGCTGACACACCAAGACCAGCACACCTTGCAAGCGGTGTGAGGTCTCCACGCTCCCATCGTCGTCCATCCGTATCACTTCCTCGCTTCCCTCTCCCTCACTCCCTCCCCCGTCCGGCCCATCCTTCCTTCCTCCGCTGCTGTTCGCTGCTCCACTCCTCTCCGACCCCTTCTCTTCCTCGTCATCCTCGTCTCCCCACACCATGTCCAACTCCATCTCCTCATCCCATCTCTCACTCGCCCTGCTACCCAACCCCGCACCACTCTGCACCTCCACCCCACACCCGCCCACGCTCCCGCTCCTCTCCCCACCCCGCACCCCCCCGTGCCCCCTTTGCCAAACCTTCCGTTTAACGCCAGGTCCCCTTCCACGCAGCCCTCTCCCCATCCGCGCGCCACCCCCTTGCGCCGCTCCCCCCGAGCCCTTCTTCGCTAGCCACGCCTCCGCATCCTTCTGCGCCTCAGCTCCGCCATCCTCCCCACCGTCCATTCGTTTGCCGTTTGCTGCGCCTGGGGGCTGGCGCGCGCCGGGGTTCTTGAGGCGCCACTTCGTCGCAGCGGCGGAGGAGAGGCCAAGCCCGCCCGCGTGAAGCGGCATGTAGTTGACCAGGGTTCCGCGCGTGCGCCACCTCGAGCCGCACGCGTTGCAGAGAACGGGCTTCTCAGGGGGACCATTGCGCCACAACGGAGTGACTGGCGCGCAGACGCAACGGGGGAGAGCAAGAGGCAGCCCACAAGGCCAGAGGGATGGGGGGGAGAATCGTGCAGGAAACGAACGAATGAAGCGAGCCGAATGGCTTTAAACGCGGACAGGAACCCGACGCGCAAGACGCTCTTCTTGAGGAAAGTCGAGTGGGCGTATCCAAGAATTTGCCTCGAGAACTCCCTTCGCGCGGCTTCCGAAGGAAATGATCGTTGACGGAGAAGGAATTAGAGACGCGGAATCGACAATGGAAGAAAGCAGATGAATGGACGCGTGACTGAGGTTTTAAAAGGGTGAAGAGTGTTAAACCCACCAGCCACGCCGCAGTGGTTGCACGGCCCTTGCTTCCCCATGCTTCACGCCGCAAATTCTGCTGCGCTCTGCGTGATCCGCCAGACACCGAGTTCTGCTCCTGCTGCTGCGGTGGCGATTCGCGCCACGTCTCGTGTTCCATCATGCTCGCGAGCGGCCATGAGCGAACAGACGTGACATGGTGAACGTCCCTGGAATCAGGCGAAGCGGAAGTATGGCTTCGGTGAGGGCGGGTTGCGCAAGCATCATAACCCCTATTCCACCGCCATTCTTCCGTGGCTTTCCTCTTTCGTATCTCGCCCTAGAGTTGAGCTTTGTCTCCCCCAAATTCGCCCCCTTGTGCCTTGTCTCTCTTTGTGAGCCGCAGCACAGACTCGGCATTCTGCTGGTCACACACCTCACAGCAGTTGCCCCCTCTAGCCCGCTCGTTTTCCCAAACCCCATGAAAGGGAGCGACGCGACGCCACTGACAACAGGGAACAATCAGGTCGCCGCCAATGCAAAATCACCGTACATGGGGGCTTATCCTCGTTTACAGCATTCGTTCTGTTTCGTTTGGAATGTCCAGGGACTTGTTTCGCCTGCCCGCGGCACATAGGCACGCGCTTCGTTTTGATCTGCCTGCCTCGTGGCACCAATCCATGGCAGGAACAACAAATTCCAGGAAGCTTGGCCTGCATGCAATCACGCATGAGAGTCATCCAAGCATATTCTGCCAGCGTCAGCAAAGATATTGTCACGTGAAAGAATTCTCAATCTGCCCGCTCCGTCGCTGAATTTGTTGGTGCCACCAGACTCATGATGAGGGCGTGTCCAGCGCGTACGTTTGATTGCGGTTGGGTGAGGTGCCTCACGGATCAGAAGGTTCGATAAGAAGCCTAAAACGGTTGGGTAGGTTTTTGACCAAAAAACGTACACGCTGGACACGCCCTGATGCCTGGAGAGACGAGTTCGTTAGCGGCTAACACCGACCGACACACTGCTGCAGCAGCAAATAACAGGAGGACCTTCCATCACCTTCACCACCCATTTCCTTGATGACGTGTATAGCACATGCACCATCGATTCACTGTCGATTGCAACCCTAAACCCTTGCCATCGATTACAACAAGATTGCGGCAGGTGAAACCTGCAACCTGCTTCGATACGCTGACGATAGTGTTATGATTTAGGAAGTGTCAATGTACTATAGCGTGAGAATACAAGGTCGCTATTGCAATGAAGGCACGAGGATATTTAGGGGTTGGCGTGCTAGGGCGATAACCTCGGAACGTGGGTAGGTTCAGCAATGTGGCGACAGTGCCGGACGCGACTAGGGAAAGGGTTGGGCTGATAAATGAGGCCGAACGTGACGAGTCGAGGAGTTCGGGTGTACGCGCTAGCGTACAATTCAGTCAGGAATGGAAATTCCTTACACTACCACCCCCTCCTAAACGAGACCGCGGGCATCGGAAACGTTCCGACGCTGATAATACGCTGTTAGAATCGGGTGTGATTCTAGCTCAGCGAGCGGCACCCAGCTGTCATCTTCTAACATGCGATCGCGCCAGCGGACAAGAAAATCAACCATCCGACGATTCAGCTGCATCGTGACTCGATGGCTGAGAATTTTCAAGGGCTCGGTCGTCGGTTCCTGCAGGGGCGTCAGCTGCTTTTTCTCAGGCGGCGAGAATGTCTTCAGCAAATGTCTGGGACCGGGGCACGGGTGTCTCGATGTTCGGGGTAGAGGGTACCACTGGGTCCTGTCTGTAGTTGAGGAAAAACGGGGACTGATGGGTTGTGGGTGATGGCGCGTTATTATACGCGAATTCCAGTAGCGGAAGGGATTTCTCCCATGTCTGGGGGTCAGTACAGGTAGTCCGAATGAGCTGCTCTATAGTTTGGTTAACCTGTTCGGTCTGCCCGTCGGTCTGTAGGTGGTAGGCGGAGGAAAACTGCATTTTGGTGCCAAACTGGTCCCACAGGTGGCGCCAGAAATTCGATGTGAATTTCGGGTCTCGGGTCTGAAATAATTGCGGTGGGCAGTCCGTGCAGCCGGATGACGTTGGCGATGAACCGTTGGGCAGTTTGCTCGGCTGTAATTGTCTCTTGGCAGGCGATGAAGTGCGCCATTTTCATGAGTCGGTCAACGACTACGAGGATGGTGCCGTTTCCGTTGGGACCGGCTTGCAATCCCGTCACGTAGTCCATCGTGATATGTTGCCAGGGTCGCTCGGGCAGATCCAACAGCTGCAGTAGTCCGGCTGCTCGCTGATGGGAGGATTTCATGATCTGGCAGGCAGTGCAGGAGGACACGTACTTGCGTACGTCGTCGGCCATGTTCGGCCAATAGTAGTTGCGCTGCAACATCTTCAAAGTTTTGTCGACTCTGAAATGCCCGGAGGTCGGGTTGTCATGGGATTCCTGTATTAGCAGGGTATGAAGTAAATCGTAGCCGGGTACCCAGATGCGAGAAGTATCGCGCTTGTTAAAATATTGCCCGGTGGCGGTGGTATGCGGTTGATGAATAGCAGAGCGGAAGAAAGGGTCGATCTTGTAGCCGTGGGTAAATAGTCCAGTAAGTAATGGGCTGGTCTGGGCGACTAGAATGGTGGCGATATGGGCAGTGGGTAGAGTCAGGGCATCGGCAATATTGTTGGCGCTCCGTTTGTAGGTGATGGTGTAGTGGAGGTTCGACTCGAGGAAATCGAGCCATCCGATCTGTCGCGGGTTGAGATTCGGTTGGGCTCGTAGGTACTGTAAGGATTTGTGGCCACTCCGCACCGTGACGTCAGCGCCTGTCGAAAGCACCGCCAGGTCTTGAATGCGTGGACGATCGCCAGCATTTCCTTGTCGTGTACTGTATAGTTTTTCTCCGCGCCCTACAGCTTCCGTGATTCGTAGGTGACTGGCTGTAACCCGTCGCCGAAATCCTGTAGGAGAACTGAGCCGATGGCAATGTTGCTGGCGTCGGTGATGACTTCGTATGGACGGTCAGGATCGGAGATGCGAAGAACGGGCGGCGACGTGAGGGCGATCTTCAGTTGGTCAAATGAAGCTTGCTGCTTCTCTCCCCACCAAAAACAAACGTGATCCTTGAGTCGGTCGGTAAGTGGGGCAGATAACCCGGCCATATTGTGGATAAATCGGCGGACGTAGTTGACGAAACCCAAAAAACTCTGCAACTCCTTGATGTTGGTCGGCGGCTTCCACTCCTGTATGGTCTTGATTTTCTTGGGGTCGATTTTCACTCCTTCGGTAGAAACGATGTGGCCCAAAAACTCCAACTCCTGCTTAAGAAAGTCGCACTTAGACCCTTTCGTGATGAGGCGATTCTTGTGCAGCAGTATGAAGACTGCATCAAGATCCTGTAAGTGCTGTTCCCTGCTGCGGTTGTAGATTAGTATGCCGTCGAGGTAGATAATAACAAATTTATCCAAGAGTTCCTTGAAAACACCGTTTATGGTCATATGGAAGGTCGAGGGCGCGTTCGTGAGGCCAAAGGGCATCACCAGGTATTCGTAGCTGCCGTAGCGGGTTCGAAAAGCAGTTTTGTGACAATCTTCGGCGGCGATGCGAATTTGATGGTAACCTCCTCGCAAGTCGATTTTCGAGAAGAACTTGGCTCCGCGAAGTTGGTCGAGTAGGTCGTCGGCTCGTGGGATCGGGTAACGCGACTTGATTGTGATCCTGTTGAGTGCGCGGTAGTCGATGCACATTCGGAATCCTCCATCCTTCTTCGGGGTGAACAGTATCAGGGCGGCGTATGGGGACGTTCTAGGCCTGAAAAAACCCTTTGTCAGAAGGTAATCCAGCTGCTGCTGCAATTCTTCCAGTTCTGGTTGGCTGAGCCGAAATTGTCGCTGTACTGTCGGTTTGGCGCCTGGTTCCAACTCGATGCGATGGTCTTCTGGTCGGCTCGGTGGAAGTCCAGTTGGCAGGTCGTCCAGGAAAATCTCGGGGTATTTTCGAATCAGGTCCGCTAAATTCGGAGGAACGGCTTCGCACTGCTTTGCGATATCTTCAGCCGTTGTCGGCGACGTCACCTCGCGAAGATCGACGGCGTACACTGCAGCTCCTACTTTTATCGCGCGCTTGAAAGTTATCGCATGGACTTGGGTGCTTCGCATGTGAGGCCCCGTCCATTTCTGTCGCTCGCGATGAACCCCATCGAGTTTGATGCTGCAGCCGCTCGTCGTCCAGTCGATATTCGGGTTGTACTGTTGCAGCCAATCCCGTCCCAGCAGTACGTCGCATCAGTCGAGTGTAGTCGCCAGCAGCCCCATCCGAAATTTTACGTGCTCCCCGCAATGAAAACTGACGTTCTCCACTCGCTCCCGTATAGCCAGCGGTGTTCCATCCACTAGTCGGGCGTCAATTTCGGGTAGACACTTAAGTAAGGGAATACCCATTTTTTAGCCCTGTCCAGCTGTATGAGACTGTGACTCGCGCCTCCATCCACGAAAATCTTCAGCAACACCCCGTTGACTTTACCCTCCACCAACACAGGGTGATCAGCAGTTTTTTCCCCCTTATTCGTCCGGGTCCGGTCGATTGCAGCAATCGAGATCACAACCCGGTGGGGACTGTGTGGCTCGGGCGAAGAAGCCTGCCCGTTAGCAAGGGGCCCGGTACTTATTGACGTGACCCATTTCCCGGTCGCTCCTCCGGCTTCTTCCCCATAGAATTCTGAGTGGCTATGATTTCTGGGCAGTTGCGTCGGATGTAACCCGGTCGGCCGCAGTGGTAGCATAACCCCGCATTGCGCGGAGCAACTGCGTAAATATCCACTGCATCCATCCCTTTTATCATGGTGCGCTGGTATTGTTCTCGAGGGCGACCTCCGTCGTAGAAGTTCGTCCTCGGCTTCGTGAGCGAATCAGCACCTTCGACGAGCTGGATGAAGTCTTGTAACCACTTCGCAGGGCGTTGCAGTTTTATCTGGTACTGTATTTCAGGCTTCAGCCCGCCCATGTACATGTCCACCTTCTCCAATTCGTGCATGTAGCCACATCTATCCACCAACGTCAAGAATGACGCGGTGTATTTGGACACACATCCCAGCTGCTTCCACAAACGTAGAGTCTCTCGCGCTTTGTCTGAGTCAGGAGCATGCTCAAACCGCTTGCGAAGCTTTGCGCACCACGTTGCCCATGTGCGAATGTGGGTCGCACCAAACAGCAAATCTGCCTCGTCTTCGTCGCCGAATTCTTCGGACCACTCGTGCGTCCTTCTGTGCGAGTTGCCGCTGAGTCAACGATTACCTTCCACCACTGTAGGGCGGCCCCTTGTAACAGTGTGTTAAGGCATGGCTGATCCGCTTCTGATCATCTCGGATGCCCGCCGCATTGAAATAGATATTCATGGCGAATATCCACTGCCACACCGTCACGCCTTTATTAGCTGGGTCGAAAGGAGCGGGTTGCAGATATCTCACGCCGCCACTTGTTGAGCGCGGGGCTGTTGCCGCTAGTCGTGCCAGCTCCACTGGCGACGGTTGCTGCTCACCCGCCTCGCTTCGTGCATCGTCGCCCGGTTCCTCTGAGCACCTGGTTCCTCTGAGCGACTGGCGAAGTCGTTGGTTCTCGTCGCGGAGGTTGTTGATGACGCTTGTCAAATTATTCAACTGCTCCATTAATGCTTGCAGGTCCACAGTTTCTCGGGCAGGGTTCGCAGCAGTCGAGGTGGACTGTTCCTCAACCGTCGAGTCTACCGGGGCCATGGCGGTCAGGACGGGGCAGAAGCTAGCGCACACGCTGTAGTTGTTGACGTAAAAATATTTACGGCCGCATACAACTGCTGTGCAGCCGTGCTAATCCCCTTTGACTACCCTTAACTAACTAAACGGAGAAATGGAAGGTTTCTGGAAAGTACAGGCTCTGATACCAGCTGTTATGATTTAGGAAGTGTCAATGTACTATAACGTGAGAATACAAGGTCTCTATTGCAATTGTTGGAAATACCTCGAAGACTTAAGCGTTTCTGAAGTGTCACACTACACTCGAAGAAATGTCGTATCGAGTACGCGAGTCAACGGAGGTTACACGAGGAGGTTGGACGAAAGAACACGAAAGGACGAAGGGACTCGAAGGATCGCAACTGGAGGTTGCGACTGACCGTTACGACTGCAAGGGTGGTAACCGAACCATCGATCGAGTCGCTGTGCGACTCGATAACCGTTTCTTCAACTGTATTCTACAACTGCTCTATATCCTATTTTTCTATATATTGCTGTATGCTTGTTTCTTTTCATCAATCACTTGCTCTCACATACTAGTGTAAGGGTTCAACTACTCAACACTTCCGCTGCACTTCTCAAGCATCTTGTACAAGTGGGACTTAGTCTCTGGAAAGATCCTAAGGGTTTTTCTCAGCCCAAGATGGTATGAGAGCTGGTCAGAGACCAAACTCCCATCAACCACATCTTATCTACAGTCAACACATCAAGAGCTTCATCGATTACAAGTCATGGACAATAAGGGCAAGAAGTCTTCTACGGGCTCACCCAATGCCCAAGACACTCAACCCGGCAACTCTGGACTACATACTTCAGGACTACAAACAGAGACCGGCGCAGCTCAAGAAACAGCAGGGAGGGTATCAGAAATGGTGACCCCTTCACCCTCTTCAAGCGTGCATGGATGAATTTCCGAGATGCACCTCTGCGCCGAGCTTCATGCCGAACAACAGGAGATGGACCTGTTTGAAGAAAGACAACCAAGAAACAAGCAGCAACCGTTAGTCTTCTATACTCAACGAAGAATTGGCAACAACTACAACCGACATGATAAGCAGAACCGACACGACACCAGAGGACTCACCATCGTGCCGCCGTTCTGCCACAACTGTCAGACATCCGGGCACTCCATTGTTGACTGCACACGCCCTTGAGTTGATCGTCCAGAAGACCCGCAAGTCGCCTCCACTCAAGAGAATCCGCCGAGTCGCTCCTCTACACCTGCACAAGGCGCACCGAACATTATTAACTGCATGGTGCACATCGACAACTGCACACCCGGATCACCACCCACTTACGCTCCAGACAAAGAAGAACTGCCGCCGCCACGCTCACAAGGTCTCCAGGTCAACCCGACGTACGCTGCAGTCGCCAACGCCGAACCCACCGGGCAAAACACCTGGTTCTTGGACAGCTGCTGTGGCCAACATATGTGTTCTTCCAGGCGCTTCGTGCAACGAGAGCGACGCCTCAACCGCGATGTCATCATCACCGTCGCCAACAACGAGAACCTGAAAACAAACAGACAAGGCGTCGTCCAGCTTCAGTCAATGGAGACAAACGTCATACTACAACTCAACAAAGTTCTCATCGTCAACAACTTGGGATACAATCTACTAAGCGTCAGCCAGTTAATGGCGAAGGGAATACACCTGGAATGCGATTCGGACGACAACGAGTTTCGTCTCTACCACGGGAAGGGCGGCCTCTTCATCGGTCGCGCTCTCCTGAAGTCGGGCGTCTTCGTGCTGGATTTCGTCCCCGACCGCGGAACTGCCGACAGCGATGGCATCGTGTCGTTTGCCGCCTGGACACACCCGCCAGATCTTGACCCCGACTTTACCCGAGACGGCTTCTGGCACTCCAACACCATCCCTGCAGCAGAAAGAACACGAGCATTAGCAGTCATCCGCCAAGAACGACAAGTACCAGTAAACATCCCTCCTCCGACATCATCTGCAGTAGCAGCAGCAGGACCCAGCCGTGTGCCATCACCAGCAATCCGAGGACCGCCATCCGAAGCAGATCAACTCATGCCCATCACCCGAGGAGTTTTCCGTAGTCCCGCCACAGTCGTCGCGTTCTTCTCCAACGCCGACGTGTACCAGCGCTCACCCGGCCATCGCGCTCCCGACGACATCTGGCATCAACGCCTCGGACACCCTGCAAATAGCACAGTACTACAAACCATACAAGTCGGAGTATTAGAAAAGAACGCTCTTCTCACAACGAGCAGCCAGGAGCTTCGACGACCCCGCGCACGATGCTTCACGTGCCCCGAAGCTGATCTTCCCCACCAACCTTTTCAGTCGCACCACAATCCAAGTGCACGTGCATACGAACCGATGGAAAAAGTCTACAGCGACATCTTAAATATGCCTCGTGACGACAGTAAAGCAGACTACAACTATGTCATCATGTTCATCGACGCAGCAACACGATACGTCTGGCACTACAACCTCAAGACACGAGATCAAGCATTCGAAGACTTCACGATGTGGCTCCCCATCGCTGAACGAGAATCGGGCTCGCAACTCAAGAGTTTCCAATAAGACGGGGCACTGGAGTACCAGCCACAATAATTCAAGAACTACTTGGCAGAAAGAGGCATCAGACGCCTGGTGTCTCTGCCCTACGCTCACCAGCAGCAGGGGGTCGCAGAGAGGATGAACGGAACCTTGCAGACAACGATGCGGAAGCTGTTCCTGGGGATGAGACTGCCCAACACGCATTGGCCTGACGCGATGACGCATGCAGTACACCTGCACAATTTGCTTTCCTCGACGTCACTTCCCAGCAACGCATCAGTGCACCTGCTGTGGACAGGAAAACAGGGCAGCACAAAATTACTTCGAGTCTTCGGCTGCATGGTACAGTACAGACCCCACACAGCTCGAGCAGGACGATTCTCTCAACGAGCATGGTGGGGACGACACCTCGGCATCGCAAAACATTTCCAAGCATGGAAACTTCTCGACATTCAGGACAAAGGCACAGTGGCCTCACGTGATGTGATTTTCTACGAGCGACTGAAACTGTAGCATTACATGGACAACATCGCCAACACAGAAGACCGCACCGACGGCTTCGAGGGCCATCGGTCCTTTGCCGACCATGCTGCCGAAGCTGACGCAGCAGAAGAAGATGTACCTGAAGCCTCGGAAGCTACCGGACCACTCCCTTACTGCTCCGTGCCCGTTCCACTCGACGACGACAATCCTCTCGATAGTAACAACCTCGACACTTATTACCACTTCGCTGACCAAGGTTACACTACACCTCAACCGGTCGACACAAATATCTCTGAACGCATCGGACCCAATTTCTTACCTGACCCCGAAGACGGTGACAAAGCATCTTATCCCGAGAATGACAATTCACCTCGACACATACCCACGGGCCTGCAGATACTTGGACTATGGGTCGCCGTCCAGAGCCCACCGCTGCCGTCACCGCGTGAGCCAAAGACTCTGTCGCAGGCTCTGGGGGGGGGGAACACAAGGCCGAATGGAAGGAAGCAATGGAAAATGAACTGAAGGCCCTGCAAGACCAAAATACGTGGAAAAATAGTACCTGCAACAAAAACCAACGGGAAGAATGTGCTCTTGGGGAAATGGGTGCACCGCATCAAGACTAATGCGGATGGCTCCATCGTCCGCTTCAAGGCTCGCTGGGTCGTACGAGGATTCGACCAGCGATATGGAACCGATTACATGGAGACATTCGCCCCAGTCTCCGACATACTTCCCTGCGCACTCTGCTCGCCGTCGCGGCCACAAAAAAGGCTACCACTGCGCCAGATCGATGTCGCCAACGCTTTCCTGTACGCACCTGTGGATGCCGAAATCTTCGTCGAGCAGCCCCACGGATTCATCGACGATCCCACAAAAGTGTGCCAGCTGGTAAAATCCCTCAACGGAATTAAACAAGCCCCGCGGCTCTGGCAGCAGCACCTTCACGGCCGCCTCGTCAGAATCGGGTTCCGGCAGCTGCCGCACGATCAAGGCATGTACCGACTACAGAAGGGGGGGGATTTCGTCCTACTCATCGTCTGCGTCGATGACCTACTCTACGTCGGCTCCACTACCGACATCGCCACTTGGTTCGAAGGGGAGCTGAGGAGTGACTTAACACTCACGGTGTCAGACACCGTGAGCAAGTACCTAGGTCTAAACATCGACGAAGACGACTCGGCGCTCTACCTACACGCCGGAAAATACGCAGGCGTTGTCGCGAAGAAAATCAGCCTAACGCCAGTCGCAGTCGCGACTCCCTATCGTTACGGGAACAACAGCGAAACCTCCGCAAAGCTCCCGCGAAGCAAATCCAGGAATATCAACAGAAGCTCGGCTGTCTACTGTTCGCAGCAGTAACCTGCCGGCCGGATCTGTCCTACAGCGCGAGCCAACTGGCGACACACCTAAAGCAGCCGGAGCAAGAGGATCTCGAGGAGCTAAATCGGGCACTACTCTACTTCGTCTCTACACCGACGACCGGATTTACCTACAGCAAAGTAACGCCATCGTCCGTACAACTACTCGGCTATGTCGACGCCGACCACGCGGGAGATAAGGAGAATCGTCGCTCCAGAACGGGCTACATCTACCGACTAGAGCCTATCGGGACTATCTCCTGGCAATCGAGCAAGTAGGAACTAATCTCGCTATCCTCGGCTGAAGCGGAATACATCGCTCTCTGCTATGCGACCAAAGAAGGACTTTACCTACGGGAGCTACTCGAGGAAGCGAAAATTGCGACCATGCCCGCCTTCTCGCTATTTTGCGACAACCAATCCGCGATCAAAATCGCGAACAAAAACGGGTTCGCCAATCGAACCAAGCACATCGCTCTGCAATACTTCTTCTTCAAGGATGAGATTGCGAAGGGGAGACTTCAACTCAGTTACTGCCCCAGGACAGAAATGGCTGCAGATTACCTGACGAAGAAACTGGCAAAGGCAAAGTTCGATTACTGCATGCTGCTGACCGGACAGATAAACGTCACCGAGTCCGGACACATTAGCACTCCAGAAACAAAGGGGAGTGTTGGAAATACCTCAAAATATAATTTGAACATGTTTGTCTTACAGTTCTGCCTTCGAAAATTCCGGAACTGGTTCCAAAATTGACGAAGATTTCTCCCGGGAAAGAGCTCGCGAAGCCTTATCGAAATGATATGCGAACCATGTGACCAGTCCGAGTTGCGGAACTTGCTGGGTTCTGACACTGTACGACACACGCCCTTACCTGCCCTTGCAACTTTTATTCGCCCGCCCCTCCAATTTCGCCCCCCAGGCGCAACTCGCTTGAGTCGCAAGTTCGTCAATCGTGTCACACTATACATTTCGTCAAGCCAGCAACATAAGACAATCGCTATTGTAGTCAATGGCTTTAAAGGGCAATATAAAACAGGGTGGTTTTAAATATACCCTGTGTAAACAGGGATGCAAAATGTTTACCCTGAAAAACCAGACTGCCAGATTTAGGTACCCTGTGTGACAGGGCGTTTTGGTGCGGCGACCCTGTTTCCAAAGGGCGGCCCAAAACCAATTTTGGGCCCTGCATACAACTCAGTAAGGAATGGAAATTCCTTACAGATAGCGCACGCAATGCTTTAATCCGATTGTGCCAGTACACTTGATTGTCAAACACTTACTCTGACGTTTCCGCTGCTGTCGCTGAGACGACCCCTGCTGCTAAGACCACCCCCGCGGCGGCCTCAGCGGAGCCTCTTCATGGTAAGGGCCGCCGCCCCAAGGGGGGGTGTGGCGGAGGGAGGGGTGGTGGGGGTGGTGCGAGTGCCGGCGATGCCAACAAGTGGACCAGGACTGATCCCCCGGAGCAGCACCGCAGCAGCAGAAATCGCAGCAGAAGCCGTGGGGCCGCCTCCCGCAGGGGTGGCCTGGCACCTCTGGTGGTGGTGGCCGCGGTGGCGGGCCCCGCAGCTTAGCGTTGGGTGGCGGCTACAGCACTGTGGGTTGCCAGTACCAGTTCCAGACTAGCCCTTTATATGGCACTATGTGTGGCCGTCCTACTCACATCGCCACCCGCTGCTTCCGCTGCCTCGACGACCACTTCCGTATCTGCTTCGGCTCT